TTGCTTTGTTGGCCTAGTTCTCAATTTCTTTGGCTTTTTTATAGCATCTTTCAGTGAGCTTTCAGTAGTCATTTGGCTCACTGATAAACTGTACTATCAGACGATTTAATGTCTCTACACAGGGAGAATTTGTTTTTACTTGGGTAGCCATGTTAACAGTGTCATTGTCATTCAAAAGTAGCATCTTGTCTCTAAGATATTGAGATATTGCTGCCATCAGAAGTGTGGTCCTACCTCCTTGGGCTCTCCAAGTGCTGCTGGAGGCAAAAGATCACAACCAATCAGAAATTATGAAATATGAAAGACTGAATAAAATTTCATTTATTTTGCAGTATTGTATTTGAGTTTATATTTCACAAATTATTTACATCAGTAATAATTTTCACTGGCAGATAATAACCTGTATTTATATATGTATACAAGGTTTTCATTGTTTTATGATACTGAGATTTGGAAATACTTTCTTGTAATATGGGACTGTTGTGGGTGCTATATTAGAAGGTGGTGTAACGAGGAAGACTAATAACACTACTAAAAAACTGCCAGAGTCTAGTATTTTTATCTGTTATTTCTTGACTTGTTTTACTACTGGTTTTTACGTCAGTATAACACTTCTTTTGAGGCTGTGTGGGTCAGAAGTTGTTAATAAATAGTGCAGCACAGATGGCAGATACCAGAAATAAAGTAGTGTAAATACAAAATTATGCTGATGTTTGCATCTGTGAGAATCCCACCATTTATCAGGCCAGATACTTCTCACAAACTTGCTTATTCTAACACATTTTGCTTCTAGGAGTTGACTTTGTAGTGCTTTATCAATATACTTTAGCTAGGCTTGCTTCATGTTTAAAAAGTAGCTTTGGGCTATAACTGTGTTACGTAGCAGCCTTCACAGAATTGTTTTCTGAGTTTTCTGGGTGCCACCCTGCTGACGTGTGCTGCCGTGGCAGTGCTGGCCCAGGCAGCTGTCCCCAGGCTGAGCTGGGGCTTTGCAGGGCCTCCTCCCACTGCCCCTCTGCTCCTGTGTTCTGCACCCTCCCGAGACGGCTGTAAAGTGCAGTGTTTTCTTCACACTTCTGGCAAATTTGAACATTTCTTGGTGCTGGTGTTTTTTTAGATTTGTTGACAATCTGAAATTAATTTCCTGCAGTAAACTGATCAAGAGTAATGAAAGTAGTTACAGAAAAATCTCTCAGTACTAGGGATAGGGAATTGTCTGAGAGCCCCTTGCAGCTTATTGGTGCTTGGTGTGGACCAGTCCAGCAAAATTGGGCAGAATTGATAATTTGGATCATCAGTTGGTTTGAGTTTAGATGCATAATCTTCCACAATCAAAATTGCAGTCACTGTTTGAGACGTGTGAGTAAAATGATGTCCATGTCTTGAGTGTCATCAACCTGCCAGTACTGAGTGTTGGTCTTTCCTGTATCCTGCAAAATAAAGTGCAGCCTTCATGTTACACAAGGTCTTTTTTGCCCAGTAGTCCCCCTGTCCCATGGGAGAGGCAAGTCATAGGCCGTCTCTGTCTTGTAATAGCAACGTTGGGAAGGCTAATAGAAAAAAAAATCTGCCTAGTTCAGTGACACAACTTTGGAATAGAAGCAGAAATCCCATGCTGGGTTTTGTGGCTGTTAACCACTTACAAATTGATCTAGGTTGTTGCAAATGTAATTCTGAGTGGGTTTTCCCTAAGATTGTAACGTAATTGGGTAAAGCGTAATAGGTCTTAGCAACTGGAAGAGGCTTTAGTCACCTTGAGGCTTAGTCTGCTTTGGTTTTTATTAAGGTTATGACTTTTGGCCATTGTAGACAAAAAGAAATTCAAGTGACTACCAGTCACAGTTGCCAGTATGCTCTTGTAGAGTTGTTATATATTCTGTGTGGCATAATAATAATATATATATTATGTGTGGCAAGTAGCCCAGTCAGATGAAATAATGATTGCAAAGTGCCAGAAGAAATGTTTTTAGTACTACTAATACCATTCATCTTGAATCTTCATTATCTTTGCTGGACCAAGCTTGAGTAGACTATAATAGTGACTCAGAGGCTTTGAATGCAAGTCAAGGTTCTGGTAATAGAGGTTAAGGTTTTGCTGAATTTAATTTTTGTTGCTGATCTAAATTGTATGGAAATAATAAAAAACCAAGACAATTTTAAACTGATCCTTACTTAGATATGACAGAAAAAGATGTTTAATAAAGTAGAGATGAAATGAGATATCCATGCAGCATATTCCTGGTCCATAAGATTTGAGAAATGCTGCATTTAATCTGCCTGGAACAGATCCACAGGATTTTTATTGATTTATTTCTTGAGGCTTGTTATCTTTGATGTTCTAAGTATGTTATGACATTAAATTATCAGACTTACTGAATTCAACACTTGGCCTTTATTATGATTTTCTATAAAGGTTTCTCTACAAGTCATTTTGCAATTAACTTTTCATGTAAAAGTAAGTGGCACAATAGATGTGACCTACTTTGCAATGTTTCAAAAGAAAATCCTCTTTCTAATAAGCAGTGTTCAATATAAATTTTATTTGCTACTGCTTTTAATTGAATTTTAAAAATCAAGTAGTACTCATTGTACAAGAGGTGGGATTCTTTTTTCTCTCTTTAAAGTAATCTATTGCTTCTTAGGAGTTTTCTAATTATTGGGATTTTTACCCCAAGTTAACATTAAAAATAAAAGACTTTATGCTGAGGTCTGTACCGTGTTCTGCTTATTACATCATATGCCACCACAGCAATTTTTTAATTCCCTGAGCAGCTGTGCTTATGGGATATTCCTTTTTGGCTTAGCTGTTTTGCTTATCTGTCCCAAAGCTGGTGGTACTTTTTGATTGATGTTTCTAGCTCAGTGTCTGGTGTGTTGACTTTTATTTTTGAACTTGTGTGCCTTTATCATTGTCTCAGAAGGTGTCTTATGACTTTCTGCCTCTTATTTTTTCCTATAGAATAACAATATTTCACACCTTGCAACATGTTGCTAGGATTTTCCAACTTGTCAAACTTGAATGTTGTTTTTTGAACCTCACCATTTCACTTTGTCTTTCCTTTCTTAAAAACTACTATGTCAGCTTGTTTTATCAGTGTTTAATGAACATCAAGCTAACATTTGTTATCTTGGGGTGGTGGGGAAAGTGTGCTTTTGAAATCTTGTCTCCCATGTGTCCCTACTTCAGCATTCTCTGGTTCGTGTTGTAAAGCATTATTAAGTGTGAGTGAATTTTATTCCTTCTGAATGAAAACAGGTTGGAAGAGATGCTGCAGCACTGCGCTGGACATGTGCCACTCACTAATGGACATCTAGTCCATGGCATCAAGTGGTTTAGTTTAGGAAAGCATACAGCAGCTGGTAGGCCCCCAGAACCAACTTTTTTTTTTTTTTACAAATTTATTTCCCTCCGTCTGCATCACTTGCTGATGTAGATATGGCCTGTGAACCTGAGCTGAAGCCACTGGGTGTTACTTAAAGTGGGTTTCTGTTCACAGTTAGTTCTTCACTGAGAAAGATCTTGCTTGTCTTGCTATTTCAAACTTCTTTGTATGTGTGGATGGTTGTTCCTGTAGTTGCTTACTGTCAAATACCTGCACTTTTTTCTCAATATGTGTAAAATGTATGCTGAGTTAGATTCTGATATATTTTCTGATGCTCTACGGTAATTGCCTGCTGTAATTTCTTTTATCATGTCTTTTGTATATATACAAAAAACCCCATAAATACTTTGTGACTTACAGATATGAATGCTACTTTTGATACTTAGTGACTTACCCTGCCTGTCTTCTTTCTCATTTCTACCATCTGGATTTGGCCCCGGTATGGACAACTAGCAGATTTGGTTTATAAGTTTGTTTGAATTTTACATCTGCCTAGATTATATCAACAAAGCAGTTTGCAGTTATCACAGTAAAGTTATTTTGATTTGAAATCTTTACTCTTAAGCTGAAAACCCTTGAAGTTGCCTTATGTCTAAGAATCCAGACATTTTTTTCCTTGAAACCATCCTGAAATTTAGTCCAAGTCCAGACTAATTGACTAAACAAGCAGCTATTTGCCCTTGTGTTACTAAGTAGAAATAGCGTGTTCTGTTGTGGATGGAGGGATTAGGTCAGCTAATAACTTCTTGCTGCAGGGGGACAGTCAGCTGTACCTAGTGTTGGTGAACAGCTGATCAGCAAAAGCAGGGATGTATGTTCCAATATTTAACTTCCTTTAAGATTACAAAGGGGTTTTTTCCCAAGTGTTTAAGTATATGTCCTGTTTCTCAAAGTTATTAATACCTTACATTTCTTTGGAAGCATGGAGAACAGCTTATTCTTTTCCTCTTCGAACAATGGCTGGAAATCTAGTGTCAAGTGCCTACATTAGTTTCCTTCTTTCTTGGTAATACCTGATTTCTCTAAAGTGGGCATGGTAGAGCAGGAAATATTGCTTCTGACATTTGTAGGTCCTGTTCATATCTATGTACAAGCATGAAGCCAGCTCTTAGGGCAATATATTATAATTTTAACATTAGAGTCTTACCTAAAGTTCATATCTGTTCGTATATACCTGCTGCTACCTAGCCAATCATATTGTGAATGACAATATGAAGCACCCCTTTGTTGAGCAGGAAAGGATATGGTTGTATGAGGTGTGTTTTGCAGTGGAAAAAGACCTCTGATTTAAGTAAATGAGTATTTCTTTTTTCTGTAACGATGCTCTTCTGGATGCATGGGTAGAAAACCTGAAAGCTTTTAGATCTTCTGTGGTCTTTGTTGCAAGTAAAATCTGTGTTTATACAGGTAAAGTCACACATTTTTATTGATGTGTAATATACTGCTACAGGTGTTACTGTGCAGATATTTTGGGGAGTTTCTAAAATTTTTCATGACTCTGAACAAGTTTTCGGTTGTTTTGGTTTTCTTGGCGTAACATTGTGTTGTCAACCTCCAGAGCAAGATAGCACAATATCTTTATGTCTTTAATAACCTCTTATTCTTCTTACATTTTAGATGCTGGCATCACCATCAACATCAGGTCAGCTGTCTCAGTTTGGGGCAAGTTTATACGGGCAACAAAGTAAGAATTCTTTTTGTTAATAATACGTTTATTTTATGCTAAATATATTACAGTTTGACACTCAGGAACATGCAGATGGCTTTGTTTTCTGGTGATTGTGTAAAAATGACAGTATGTCTCCTTACATACAATTATTTTAAGATATATTTTTGCTTTGCTTCATATGCATTTTTTGCAGTGTTTAGTGTATTTAGTATTTAGCAAAATATTATATTGTCACTTTATAACTGCTAAATATCCAAATGCAATCATACTATAAAAAATTTCTGTGACTTAACAGACTCTCTGAAGGAAAGCATAAAGAAAGCTGAGCTAAAATGAGCCTAGTTCAGAAAACTATGTAAGGAATAGAAGGAAATTATACATTAAACATAACTGATATTTCATGCTCTACAGGAGCACAGTAAATCTTGTGTACATGTTTGGCAACTTGCATTTGGCAAAGAGCTATGCCATTAAGATTATTGCTTTCTGCATCACTGTTTTTTTCTTTCCTTGACAATGTCATGTGTCTGCCACTCCTATGGACACTGTTGTAATAGAAGAGCTATAGAGTGACAGTCACAGTGTAATGCTCCCTCAAGGACCACCTAACTTAGGGCCAGCATTGAGAACTGAACCTCCTGGTAACTGAGAGGTGCAGTCAGGCAGTGTCTCAGAATACCTGAGTTAGATACTGTTCCACAAGTAAAACTGGTTGTGAATGTCATCTGTCCCGTGTCACTACAGTGCTTTTAAATGTGTTCTGCTGTCTTGCTAAGTGCATCTGAGTCAGATTCCAAGAAAAAGTGTCTTCAGAGTACTTTAGAGAATCTGAACTTTTTTATCTAGTCAAACTAAAAGCTTTGTTTGCTAGATGCATGGCCTTCCAACTTCTTTTGGCTTTCTTCAAATGGTTTAAAAAACACAGTGGCGTTTTGGGGTGGTTTTTTTGTTTGTTTTTGGTGGCGTTGGTTTTTTGGAAGGTTTTTTCCCCTCTCTGTGGTTGTTGAAGAGTGACCCTGTAGTATAAACTGCCATTTTATTATGCTGCTGAGATTTATATGAGCAGCTTCTAGCCTTTCTTAGAGTCATGTTTGGCTCTTGTCTTATAGGTGCTGATTTTGGCACTGTTGAACCTTTCAGACTTTACTGTATACAGATACTGAAAAAGTATATTCATTCTGCTTGTCACAGTCATTTGTTGTTTATTTTTTAAGGTCATCTTTTTAATCAACTTGGCTTTTCATTCAGTTGGTTGCTGTGCCTAGGATGTAATCTCTGTGACATGGAGACATACATGCCTACGACCTTGAAAGTAAATATTATCAGGTGTCAGTTTCTACCAGATCTTGAGAAAAAGGGTCAAGAAACTTTTTTGTTGAAGTCATAGTTAACAATTAAAATACTCTTTAGGAAAAACAAAGCTGATAGTGCCTATGCACTTTTAAGGATTGGTAGCTGTCAGTCATTAAGCAAGATGTCATATTGCAGCATCAATGTAACCTTGACCAGTAAACTTGATCAGTAGTAAGGAAATCTGCCATTTCATTGCATTCTGCCTTCAACATAACCCATATAGATCTTGTCTCAGTTAGAAAACTGGAAAAAGAAAGTGTAAGAAAAGAGGGTTTGAGGTTTTTTTTCTTCTTACAGTGAGTATTTCAACTGCCTCTCCTTGCTGGCAGTATGGTTCTACTTCACTGTAACAACCCTCATCAGTAAAAAAATCTAGCTTAAAGAAAGCCAGTAAGAAGAAATAACCATCAGTCTAAAAGTGGCTTTGCTAAAACGAATGCTTGCACAAAATTAGGTTGAATATCCTTATTGTGTTTTTTTTGGTGTGCTGTATCTAGTTTGGAAGCGTATGTATTTTTTCTATACCATTTTATTTTTAAAATCCCATGTAATTTTTAATCAACATGAAATATTATTTATAATACATATTTATGCTCATTGAAATTATTCTGATGCAGGAAATTGCCAAAATATTTACAGTGAACACTGATGCAATCAACATTTAATGAAATGTTAGGATGCTTCTTATAGCAAGTCACACTACCTCTTAATCTGAATGTATAGAGATAAATCTGAGTGTTATACACTTGAGTTTTATTGCAAACTCCCTGGATTTGCAAATTGTAGGGTAGGACACAGACTGCAGTTCTTACAGTGCAAAAATTGAATGACTGGGACATTTCTTCAGACTTTGTCCACGATGATACTTTGAGCATATGCTGTGTCTGTTCTTTGCATTCTTAGTATTTAACCACGTTATGCATTGTCATATTCAGCTCTTCTGCTGGGGTGTTCTACCATGGGAGAGTGCTAATCCATCAGAATTTTCTTTTGTTTGGTCTGCAAGATAAGATTTTGAGTTCTGTCAGTCTGCCTCAGCAGCCTTATGCCAAAGCAGTAGGAACTGTCACAGCCATCGTTTTTTATATGCTTTGTTATTATTGCCATCTTGCACTAAATGACTTTTCTTGTCTTTGAACATAATTCTGAAACTACTTAACACAGAAAAGTGACATGAGAATGATGAAAAACGTTTGGGCATTTTGAAACAGGGCAGTAACTGGTTATTTTCTGCCGTTCTCAGTTGTACCTCACTGAAGTGCTTGCTTTATTCGGTCACACACGATTGTTTCGATTTAACAATGGGATCAATAGCATTTTCTATACATTCTGTATGTTTTTAAATGCTGAAAGAGAGGTGTTAAAATTCTGCTTGCTTTCTTTTCTGATAAGGTCAAACTTGATCACAGACACTGAAGTACTGTTGCTATAAAGAAGCAACTTTATGTAAAGAGAGAATTGGCCTCAAATGTTGCTTTTGTTGTCCTAAAAGCAGTGTTATTGTTAATTAAAGATCCATCACTTTCATTTTTTTATCAGAGATTTGCTTAATTTTTAGCAAGACAAATCAGTGTTCTAAATACTGTTCAAATACTTATTTATTCAAGAGTAATTAGCATATTTCTTGAGTGCAGTTACTGATTTTCCTAAAATGCTGCCGCCTTCTGAGATAAATTGTAGAATTTCGTGTCCTTATTGAAAAACTCAAAATTCAATCCTTCATCTACAGTATATGTCTCAAAGGAAGCAAAGTTTTGTGACTTCAGAGAAATTCCTCAAAGAGCCATTCCAAAGTTAAACAGATATAGCCCTAAATTTGATAGTTGAGTTTCTTCTATCCAAACAAGGACGTAGTTTTTACACTGCACTTTCCTTCAGTCTTTACACTCCTTTTGTACGTTGTCAGCAAAAATTGTTTCCATCTATACCTGATGGAGAAGACCTTGTTCCTGATTGCTCTGTATCTCCACCCCTCTGAATTTTTTTTCAATAGGTGCACTAGGCCTTCCAATGAGGGGAATGAGCAACAATACCCCTCAGTTAAATCGCAGCTTATCACAAGGCACTCAGTTACCGAGCCACGTAACGCCAACAACAGGGGTACCAACAATGTCACTTCACACGCCTCCATCTCCGAGCAGGTATTTATCAATAGCTGATATTTCTGCCATTGTGTCTTTCTGCAGAGCTCTTGTTAAATGTTCTGCATATTTTGCCTCATACTTTACAGTCTGATAAATTTAAAAAGAGGAAAAGTAGTGTCTATGGACCACTTACTTTGTTAGGGAAATAATACCATAAAAAAAAGTAAGCGTTTACTGTAAGACAGTATTTTATTTTTGTATGTAAAGGACAAATTGCTGGCAAATTCTGCTTCAGAATGTAAGAGGTAGTTATTTGATTGTGCAGTTAAAACTTTGCTATGGTGTCATACACTGCATGAGAATATAAAGATAGTAGGTCTGAAGTGCTCATTAGAAAAGAGCTGTAACACCTTTTCATATGTATAATACTTAAGTATTTATGTAAACCTGATGAAGGACTTGATTAGCATGTAATAGGTCATTTGGTATTTCTGAAGAAATCCAGAACTGCATTAATTATAGAGAGTAATCCAAACACAGTGTTTGGTCACTAAGCACAAATTAAATTGCAACAGCTTGGAGTCCATCCTGCATTAGTAATGTAAATGAGTAGCCAAATACTGTTGTACAGATTCATCTCTGTGGATGGTTTTTCTTTTTCAGGGGGATATTGCCTATGAATCCTAGGAATATGATGAACCACTCCCAGGTTGGTCAGGGCATTGGAATTCCCAGCAGGACAAACAGCATGAGCAGTTCAGGGTTAGGCAGCCCTAACAGAAGCTCTCCAAGCATAATATGTATGCCAAAGCAGCAACCCTCTCGACAACCTTTTACTGTGAACAGGTAAGGCTCTTTAATTGAACCGTCCCTGTACAGCCAGAGACATGCTGCTCTGGAAATGTAATTTTTATCCATTAGAATAAATCTTGAAACCTGTGCCATGTACTCATGTCTGGGCAATAAACTTGGAAGCTCCTTGTAATATTCATGTAAGGTCTTTGAGGCCTTTAAGCTAAGTTCTTTTCCTGACTATTGAACTTCTGCTGCATCCACTTTAAAGTAAGTGATGTTGCTCATGTATTCCCAAGGTTATTTTTGAAACATACCTTAAATTTTCAGCATATGCATGTGTTTTAAAATTGTTCATCTGGGACTTTGGGAAGAAGTAAGGCAGAATTTAAAAATATGATAGTTATTCTAGAAGGGAAGTAAACTGATTAGGACACAGTAAGGATCTGGTATTTCTTTAAATAATGCAGAAAATAGTGGCTTGCCATTAATTTAAGGATTTAGTGCTCATTTGGATGCCAAAAGTTTCTCAATAGCTTTTTCTCTTTTTCTAACTTGGGGCAGGATACTAACATCACAAATCATTAGGCTTTTTAACAGTGTTACAGTCCTCTGTTTATGCTTCATTCATATTGATAAACTTGTAGTAAGCACTGACTTAGTTCTAATTATTTAATGTGCGTAGTCACAGCTTAGCATGGCTGGCTGCTTTTAAAGCTCAGTTCCATTACCTCATGATCTCTGTGCTCCCAGTGAAGTCCTTTTTCTTCCTTCAGGCCCTTCCTTAGAGGAGTGACTGTTAGATGGAGCATAAACAAGCTCATGGTGGTCAGGTGCCACCTCTAACCCCATCGCATATTTTACAAAATAGATAAAGGAAAGTGAAGACAAACATCACAGTTATCTGATATTTGATCAGATTGTTTCGTTTTGTAGTTTCACATTGATATATACATATAACAGATACTGTTCTCAAGCACAGCAAATAGTGATCCCCTAATAGCAGTTTGTGGTCATGAAGCATGAAAAGACTTTGTATCTTGCCTCTCATTACAGTAAATTTGCCTTTTCTGTCCTGTCTAGTGGCAAGTAGAGCTGATAATTTTAAAAGATAATATATTTTAAAGTATTTTTGAAATTTGAGATCACAAACAGATGAAATAGTAATATACTTAAAAACTGTGTGCAGAGGACAATGATATTGGATATTGATACATGTATAGAAAGTACTGTTCAAATAGTATTCAGCTGTAGGGTAGATAATGAAATCCCTGTGTGTAGGAACTTTTGAATTAAAAGGCTCATCTTTTACTCTTTGCATTGCTCACTTTCAATAAGCTACGAGTTTTACAAACTGAGAAGGAAATTTCTCTGAAACAATGACTGGCTCTTACTCCACAGTTTATTAACCTGTCGAAGTATAGTAGTATACATGTCCAATGGCTAATTAAGGTGTTTAACAAAATTTTGAAATTACTCTTGGGGAAAAGAATTTATGGCATTTGCTTGTCAGGTGCATGAATTATGTGACTTGCAAAGAAGCATTTTCTAAATAGTTTTTTAGTTGGAGCAATGAAAGTTTTTAGGCTAGATTTTTGAATGTGAAGCTTTTGAAGGTGTTTCAAATTAGAGTTAAATGCTTCAGATTTGTAACTGTAAAAAGTTTGCATTCGTAAAATTTCCACTAGGGAACCTTTTCATATTTTTATTTATGGAAACTTCCAAAATATCACCTTCTATCCTGTTTCAGGGAGAAGTGGATGTTGTGATTTTCCACAGGGCAGACATTCAGAATTTCACTTAGCAGGGGGCCTAACTTTGGACTTCTCAACAGGATGAAATGGATTATTTGTGAAGTTGTCTGTGCAACCACAGTAGTCCTACATGATACTTAGATTTTTTCAAACATTTTTGCTTGACTTTATGAACCTTTAGCTCATGTCCTTGTATGACAGAGACCATCCTTCTGCTCACAGTAATGCCATGTGTACATGGCCATGATTGCACACCATAACTGTTCAGCTTATAAATGAGTCGTGACAAACTTGGTCTTTGTCATGACCCAGCTTCCCACCTGCCTGTGTATGGATTGCAGCCTGACTTTTAACTACTGCATTTAATGCGGCTTGATTTTTGTGTATGAAATTATTGAGTAATGATCATGTTAGTCATAACTTGTTTGTTGAGAGATGTCTTAGTACACAATGGCTATTAAAAAACTAAGTTGTTTTGAAGTCATTCCAGTTGACCTGATTAAGCAGTGCCTGATACTGCTGCTCATTGTTTTCAGAAAATAATTAAAAACCAAGTTTAGGCTAATATGGGTTGTTTAGGCTTGAAATAATTTCAATTTTTTTTCTCCCCTTAATTTTTTCCACTAGAAATACAAAGTATATATATCCTTTTGTCTGACTTTCTGGATTTTTTTCACAGTATGTCTGGATTTGGGATGAACAGAAATCAGGCATTTGGAATGAATAACTCCTTATCAAGTAACATTTTTAATGGAACGGGTGAGTTTACTCTCTTTAATGTTGACCTTAAACTACAGCAGAGTTTTTTTTTAAATAAGACTAATTAATAATATTTTGTTCTGTTGCAGTGCAACGTTCTAACAATTTTCAGATGTTCCATAGAAACCCTGCTCCAAAAGCAGTGCTAGGTAACTGGTACTGCTTTATAGCAGTGGATTTTAAAACTTTCAAAGACAAAGTGAAAGTAGTTCTGTTGTATATTTGCTGTATGTCACCTCCCTGTAGATTATACTTATTCAGTTAGAAATACAAAACAGCTCTTGAACTTGAAAAGGGTATTGGAGAAGATTTATCCATATTCTATGAAAACATTAGGCATGTAAAAGCAGTGTGAAAGCATTTTTTTTTTAATCTCAAACTCCTTTTGAGCAGCTGAATTGTCATGTAATCCTTTCAGTTAGTTGTTTAAGTTGTGATTTCTCTCTGGAAATTACTTCTTCACCTGAATTTAATGAACTAGAGAGGGGAAAATATCTTTGTCCGTAAATGATTTAGGTTGATGTGTGCTGTTGTTTCTGTATGTGGCTGCGTATATGAAGCAACCTGAGGTGCTGGTGATGTCACAAGAGTGGAATGGTTTGGGCATTCCCTAGGACATTGTGACATTTTTATAGAGCTGCAGCTCTGGCCTCACCTCTGTAGCATTTCCTGCTGCAAATCAAAAAGTGTTCCCATGTAATTTGCACTGCATTGGCTTTTCAGCTGCTTCAGCTTTATCTTACCTTATCTAAGGACAATAGAGCTCTTTGATGCTGCTGCTAATATGGGTTATTCTCTCAAATTTCTTCTTGATAATTCTTCAAACTTAAAACAGATTTAAGACAAATTTCAATACCTATTCTAGAACTGGAATTTTGGTAGTTTGCCTGTATTCTGCATGTACAGACTTTAATTCAAGTGGAGTAGGCTTTACTAAATGCTACTTATCTGTCGTTTGAAAGCAAACTTCAAACATCCTGATGCTCTTTAGGGTCATCTTGTAACACAAAGGCTGTAGTTATATGTAATAATTACTTGAATGAGAAAAAATATCAACTTGAAAGAAAATACTTCCTACATTTATCTTGCTCATAATGAAGTCTCTGACAAAAATACATAAGGGAGTTAAGAATACCTGTTTTTGTTGTAGATGGAAGTGAAAATGTGACAGGACTGGACCTCTCAGATTTTCCAGCACTAGCAGACAGAAACAGAAGGGAAGGAAGTGGCAATCCAACTCCATTAATAAACCCTTTAGCTGGAAGGGCACCCTATGGTAAGACCAAACTTTTGAAAGCTCTCTGAATGAAATGAAATTTGCTTGATTCACCTGTAGCTGTTCATAAGATTATAGACAGTCTTTTCAAAAATGCCAGACATGTGAGCTGCTAAGACTCATTTTTAAAAATGAATAATTGATACCTGTGATTGGAGACTCCTGTTCATAAGTACTAGAACACGTGTGTTCTAGTTTTACTGTCAATAGGGATTGTTGGGGTTTTTGGTTTGTATAGTATGATTGCTCTGAGGCTGCTCACTCTAGAAATTTCTTAGGCAATAGGTTTTATTCAAATTACATATAGACAAGAGCTGTTGATGTCTGAGTAGCAACTTGCAGGAATAGTGTTTTATTAGTAGAGGTGTTACTGTGTAAAAAGTCATAAGCTGTAAACGTACTGTAAACTTTCACTGTTTATTTGATAGTATTTGCTGTTGTACTGTTCAGTGTCACCCTTATGATGAGTGTCAGATTTCAAAAAATAACCTGTAAGCATCAATTATTATCACTCAGATTCCAAGTATGTGTCATATAATTCTTGCTGTACAGGTTAAAAAAATAATAAAAGGAAAAACCTTTAGGTGGATACAAATCTTACTATTTGGGTCTTGAAAAAATTCAGGTAAGCTTAGCGTGAGGTACAAAACCTTCTTTTTGTTACTGCTTTAGTAGATTTTGTTACGCATGTTGCATCAGCTCTTGTGAAAAGTTGCTTTTATAACCATAAGTTATTTTTGTGACACTTGTCAAATTTTGAACCAAAAATAACTTAGTGTTTTCCAGCTATAAAACATTAGTGTTCTTCAGAGATAGCTCCAACTTCAGTTGGACAAAAGAGATACCACATTATCAAGAGAAAGTAGCTGCATGGATTTGGCATAACCAGGGCCCTCTGCATAAGATAGCTGTGAGAAAGAGTTAAGCAAATTAAACTGAATTGTTAAACATGGGGGAAAAGTGACTTCCCCACATAATGACACTCAAAACCAAGCATGAATGGAGACTTAGTACAGCTTGAGGCTTATGTATGATTTTGTCCAACATAAAATGGCTTGGATGGGAAGGAACCCTAAGGACAATCTAGTTCCAGCTCTGGAAAAAGAAGACAGTATGTGAAAAACTGATAGAAGATAGGAGGGAGATCCACACAGATGCACTTCCAGCAGGGAGCTTGAATTCAGTATTAAACAGCACTGCAGCATAAAAATGTCTGTAATTGTTCTTTTGCTTACACCATTTCCCAATTTTGGTGCTAGCATAGCTATTGCATGACTGCATGATAAACCACGAAATACAGTTCTCCAAAGAGCTACCCTGAGCATCTGCTTAGTGCAGCAGTTGAGTATGGAGGTAGAAGCAGTCAAAAAATGAAAATGTGAATACTTTGGATGTTGTCTTCCAGCACAAAATAAGGAGAGCACTTCTGGTTGTGGACAAGAAAGAGCAAGCTCAAAACAGAGCAGAGACCTACTTTCCTCATGCTTAATTATTCAGGAAAATTGTACTTCAAATAGCTTTTAGATGGAATAAGAATATCCATTAAAGTTAATTCATTATCAATTTTATTCATCCAGTGGAAGAAATTGTAATAACTCTGGATGAAAAGGCTGAACAGCAGAAACAATTAACTCAATGTTGGTTTATTTCCTTAAATAAAGAAACATTGATCTCTAATTCCAGAACACTGAAGAAAGTCATGTGTTGTCATCTACGGAACCATTTTAGTCCTATCCATCTACTAAGAATCTTCAAAAACCAGGACCTAGACTTCCTTCTGTCTTCTGTTCTTCTAGTGCAGTGTCCTTTGCAACCAAATCACTGAATTATGTCTCAGCAAAGTCTAGTCACCCTTGGATGTGTGATGTGGTGGCTTGTTTGGTTTGGTTTGAACTGGCATTAAAAACAAGTTCCTGTTCAGTTGTCAGAATCCATGTTCCTATGTGACTGGGCTGCTTTTTTAAAGTTAGGATCAGAGCACTGAGAGTTACAGGCTAAATGTTTTCAGTTTTTACACTGAAAGTAGGAGTCACCTTCATGTCACAGGCAAGTATTTAATTGTTAACATATTCTGCTGCAAGTTAGCTGGTTGTCCTTTGAGAATACATGCTTCTGAAGAGATTATGCAAAAAAAATTCTTCATGTACTTTGGGGATGGAGAAAAAATGTATTATACTTCTAAAAGCAGTACATCCTTATCAGTGGATTTACCCAAATACAGCTTTAACAATGCCTGTAAAGATGATTTGATTATTTAGATGTGCGAAACAGGTGCAGTGGATGTGCCTATGAACTTAACCCAGAGTGTGTCTCAGCTCACACTTAAATAAGAGGCTTTAGTCTAATATGTGTGGATGTTTTGAATGAATACGCTTTGTTTTGCTTTACCTGTTCCTTAAGTCATCGCTGTACAGCTTGCGCGTAATGAAAATGGACAGTAAGCAAGATCAGCAGAAGAAAGCGTTTTTACTTAGCAGTCATTTAATATTATTCTTGCTTTCATTTTGATGATAGTTGGGATGGTAACAAAACCAGCAAGTGAGCAGTCCCAGGACTTTTCAATACACAATGAAGATTTTCCAGCATTACCAGGCTCCAGCTACAAAGATCCAACATCGAGTAATGACGACAATAAATCTGTAAGCAAACCTTAAATCTTCTCTTATTTTCAGTGTTCATATTTCTTTTGGTGATTATATTTTGAAATGGTCAGTGATTATATTTGCAATAAGAGATTTTTTCAGTTTTTCCCTTCTAAATTAATGAGAGATTTTGTATAAGCAGCATTTAAAATGTGATTATGTAAATGGAATTTCTCAGTAAGGTTTTTGGTCCAAACAGTCGCCCTGCTTGGACACGTCAAAACTTATTTTTGAGAATTGGTAATATTTTTTAAGTTTATAATTTGTAATTTTTTTTCTATCAACTGTAGCTCATCTTTTTGCTACTGATGCCTCTCATCAGTAGTAGTTATCTACACATTTTAAGATTTTTCTTCAAAGTTGTCCAGTCCTTTAAAAGTTAGGTGGTACAATATCTCTTTAAGGTGAAATGCTTAATGGAGATGTGGAATCAGAGGGAACAAACTCTCTTAATAGAGAGCATTGATGACTATATTGTAGACTAGTGAGGTACATGATATCTTAAGTATTGGCATAATTACTGTCCATTAGATATATAGCTGAGAGCATAAGATTGTGGGCTGTTCTTCATTGTTTACTCTGAAAACTTTGTAATAAAAAAAAATGGTATTATATGCAAACAGTGAGCTAGTTTCTACTTACTGATTGGTTTATTACTTCTAATTGCAAATAATATGTTAATGACAGTGCCATAATTACTGAATAAGTAGTAGACATGACTACAAACTCATGTAAGAACTGAAAAATGAACTGCTCAAAAAGAGAGACATGAGGAAGTCTGGCCCCGCCCCCAAGTGTTGTGGGCAGTTTTATAATGAGGAAAATGTTCTGATAGGATTAGTACTGTGTACAGTAAGGAGAGGGGAGAGTAAATGTGATTAATTCTGTAACTGTAGACTTGTTATAAAGACTATGAAAGAGTTAGAAATTATACACATGGCAAATATATTTTGTCAGTAGGTAGATTCCTGGAGCATAGTCTGTTTTCTTGCCAGACACAGTGTGTCTGGCATAGTGTTTATATCAGATATAATGTTTATATGTCTTTCCTGATAGCTGCAAATGTGCCAGTTGTATGTTACTTGCACCTGAATTTGGCTTAAGTATTATCTGTTACTGTGTCATGGAGTGTTATGCAGGAGCAGGACTATGGGGAATATCCATGATGTGGTGAGCCAAGGAACCTCTAGTCACAGGCACTTGGGATATCGACTGTGTATTCCAACTCGAGTGTAAAATAATTTATTCTTGTAGACTGCAAACTTTTAGCCTATTAATGGTAGTTCTGTATGACAGGTATACTTTGGAAAATGATTCAATACTACATAAGGTTTGTCAGCAGAACTCAGGGGCTTCAGCTTGATGGCATTTATTGAAGTGACTTGATGTACTGGCTTAGAGTGCTTGACTGAAAAGATATGGGAAATAAATATTTCCATTTTGGTTTTTTTTCCATCATACCAACTCTGCAAATTATCTTTAATAGAATTTGAGTACATCAGGCAAAACATCATCCAGCACAGATGGGCCCAAGTTTCCTGGAGATAAAAGTTCAACTACGCAAAACAACAACCAGCAGAAAAAAGGGATCCAGGTGTTACCTGATGGTATGTGTCATTCCACTTTTTCTGCTTTAAAAGTTTTGACAGTCATTTAGATTACCTTGTTGATTCCTCTACTTCTTAAAAAGAGAAAATTAATTTGTTGTTCTTTCGCAGGTCGGGTTACCAACATTCCTCAAGGGATGGTGACGGACCAGTTTGGAATGATTGGCTTGTTAACATTCATCAGGGCAGCAGAGACAGATCCAGGAATGGTACATCTTGCATTAGGAAGTGATTTAACAACACTAGGTCTCAATCTCAACTCTCCTGAGTAAGTTTCTGGGATTTAATCCTGTCTTCACGTTTGGTTTTATTATGCTGTCATTCATAGTCCGTTCACTTGGTCCACTCAGCTATTAAACCCGCAAGCTGGTTTGCCAAATAACATTTGAAAATGTAATGACAATAAAATAAAATTTTCATAACAAAGAGAATTGTGCTTCAGGGCAAGCTTTCAGTAAACCTGGCTTTGTTTATTCTCCTAACTTCTTTAGGACTTTTTTCAAGGAATTGACAGTATATTGTTTATAAATGTAATGTATACATTCCTTTTCTAATAATAATATTCCTTGGGGATATTTACACTTAACTCTCAGCAGTTTGGGGATAAATTAGATTTATATAGTGTAATGATGAACAGAACACCTGTAGTGTTAGGCTGCACTGAAGATTAGTTTAAATGAAAGTAGTTGACTTCCAGTGACTCAGTTCACCTAAATAAACTAGTTTAGTCATCTAGGTTTGCAATAGAGGCAGTGGGGAGGAAAGTAGTTAGTGACTGCACAAATGCTAGAAGGAGTGCTTTAGACTTAGGGGAGATGAATAACCAGCCAACCCAGGGTACCTTTATTTTTACACTAATTACTGAAGGAACTCAGATCAGTTTAGACAAAACTAGTGTCTTTCAGATGACTGCAGTTGTGAAAAAAAAATTAATTTCTGGTGCTCTTTCAGATGAAAATCTCACACCTTTTTGTTTTATCACAGATTTATATAGTGTTAGCCTTATAGACAGAGTACTATATATATTTTAAGGTCTGCACATAATATATTAAAAAAAACAAAGACCAGACAGCGTACACACATAGTTTCCATCTTTCATAAATTTATATGGAGCTGTACGTAATCAGGGAAGCTTGATGAATGTGGATATCAAGCACAGGAAAAATGGCTCCTTATTATTCTGCTTTTCTTAGCAGCTATGCCGTAAATAACTGTATTTTTAGTATTTAATTACTGTACATAGTGTATTTAGATTCTTGGATGGAGAGGATAGGAGCTAACATTTGATGCAGACAGTTTATATACTATAAAGCTGGTTTTACTTCATGCTGCAAAAAAGCTTTGCAAGCAGCCCATGTAGACCTCAGTGTCTGGTCTGCCATCTCTCCTTATGTTAAATGTTCTTCCCTTGCTCTGTGGATTGTTGTTGGAAAAACTAAAACTATGTCACATATGAAAAGGCAAATGTTTCTGCCCTGTGTGGTAGCTTGGTTGGTAAAAATACCTATGTGACATAAAAACTTAGAAACTAATGTTCTTTTAGAAACAAAATTTTAGAATTTTGTATTTATTGCTAGTGGCTTAAATTATCCTTTCTAACTCCCGTATTGAGGAAGAGTAAAATCTTTACTGGTTAGTTTTAAATAGCAACCTGCCAGAACAAATTTTTCCTCCCCTTTTACGTTGTAGGCTAATAAATCAGAACCCACCAGGGTTGTGACAACTGTTCCTAGTTAAGTTGAAACCCTGCATAATAACACTGGATACCTGAAAAAGGTTGGGACCTCTGGCACCCAACCTGAAGGAAAGATAGATTTAGAAGAAAATTTTGACCCTGTAGTTTCCAATAGCAGTTTAAATGCAACATTGCTCTGCATATTAAAAAGAAAAATAATAAATGTGACTGCTTTAGGAAAGTTTCCTTTTATCTTCTCACCCCAGCTGAGGATTTGGTTGTGTGATATAGCTCTTAGGTTTGTGAAATTGATTATGGAAGGGTTGGTTGGTTGGTTGGTTGGTTTGGAGGCTAATTTTTATTAATTTATGCTTTTCTTTTTTCTTCAGAAATCTTTATCCCAAATTTGCATCCCCATGGGCATCATCACCTTGTCGACCTCAAGACATAGGTAAGAGAGAAATAACTATTAAATTCAGTATTAATATTTGCAAATTATATTCATTTACATGTCTTAATAGTTGCATCAATTCCGATTCTTTTTTAGACTTCCATGTTCCATCTGAATACTTAACTAACATTCACATTAGGGATAAGGTGAGTACGTGTGTGTGTGTGTGAGTGCATTTTTTGTTAATTTATTACCAGTAATTTTCTAAATTTCTTTTCAGATAGGTGTTCAAAGTCAGTGCATTTTGTGCATGTCCTCAATCTTTCTAGAAGCAGTGTTGAGTTAACAGGCTGATGTGACACACTGAGCACCCATTATATCCTACAAAAAGAGAATGGACATGCAAAAGAATAGCTAAAAAGCACAACGCGTGTTTAAGAGTTTGCCCTTCATGTGAAGTTGAATTTTTTTGTGATAGAGTTCAAATGGCAAATTAAATTGAGATATTTCTTCTTGAGATAAGATCAGAATTGTGTTCTCATTTATCTGTTGCATTCCATATCTACATGAAAAGGAATTTTTTGAGATATATTTTCTTTCAACTGTTTGAAGGGATCATTGAAAAATAGCATAAGAAATTTTAGTAGTGTTACTTAATAGGGTGTGAAGGGAACATATACATGCAGAAGTTGTGGTTTTGATTTTTTTGAAATAAAATATGTAGATGGGAATACGCACTTAACAGGGAGAAAATTCTGTCTTGTTCGTTTGTTACATCTCTATTTTTCTATTGTAACCTCTAACTTGGAAAGGCTAACTAAAAGTGGAGAAAAATTAATTGTTTTAATAATTATTACTCCTGTTGTATTAGAATATCATTTTCAACACACTTAGAATAGAAGGATGGAAGTTCTGGATGTATTCTTATGTTATTTAAGTGGGGTAGTGTGTTTTAAAACATTTGTCTATTGTGATTTTTCATCCTCATTTTCTTCAATCTTTTGCAGCTGGCTGCAATAAAACTTGGCCGATATGGAGAAGATCTCCTGTTTTATCTCTATTACATGAATGGAGGAGATGTATTACAGCTATTAGCAGCAGTAGAGCTGTACGTTCAAACTATTTTGTCAGTCTTATATGAGTTAAGCTATTGCAATAATGAAATGGCAGATGTTAAAAAAAAAAAAACCAAAACAAAAACCAGAACACCCAACAAGTTAGACATTGAAAGCAGGAAGCTTAGTAAATCTCGAACGGTAAAGCTTTTTTAAAATACCTCCTCCAACCTTGGTGTCATTTTGTACAGAGTTTTTTTACATTTGTATAGTGGAAATCAAAGGCCCATCTCATGTATTTTGCATTATGAAGCACTGTGGAAAATATGGCAGGTGCCAGTCATTATTGAATGTGTAACTTGCCTGTCATCAACCAAATCAGAACCAAGTAAATACTCATAAAAAGAGTTTGCTGGTAGAACCTACCAGACTTGAACTTTCTTATGTATTTTAGTTTGAGGTATAAGAACTGTATGGAAGAGGTATGAAATCACAGGTTTAACCATGTTGGAGAAATTTTGTTTGGGATTTGAGTGCATTGTATAGTAAAGATTGAAACCCATAAAGTTAGTTTATTAAGTCAGTTTCAGATAACTCACACTAAGAATTACTTTTCCTTTCTGTTACAAATGAAAGATTTAACCGGGATTGGAGATACCACAAAGAAGAACGAGTATGGATCACCAGGGCACCCGGCATGGAGCCAACAATGAAAACCAATACGTACGAGAGGGGAACATATTACTTCTTTGACTGTCTTAACTGGAGGAAAGTAGCTAAGGTATCTCTTTTCCTTTGTGTAGATACTTTAAATACACTGTGAACTGTGTATTTTTACAACAACAAGAGTAAAACACAAAAATCTTCACAAAGATATCTGACTTTTTCTTCTCCTGTTATATAGGTTCATTGCCTTAATTTCTGATGTCTGAGAGAAATAAGGTTGTCTAAAACACTGCCCTGCTTGTGGAAAATAAGGAGCTGTCTCTCTTATTTCCACTTTTCTTTGGGAGGTAGAAGGACATAGGACTTCTTTTAGGAGTTTTGTTAAAATTGAAAGCTCTTCTCACAGCATAGAGTTGAGTGGAAAGCATTATTTGGCATTTTAGAAATTGCACTTGCAAACATTTTTTTACTTTGTTTTAGAAAATGAAATAGGATGCTATCACACCTCACTTAGGAATTTAAAATGGATGTTGGATGGGTGCAGGGAACGCTTTTTTGGTTTTTGGGTACAATCTCTCCTTAACCATACCCGGGAATTCCATGCTCTGTTGTTTGAAAATCAGAGTTCTTTGAAATAAATAACTTCTTCTAAGGAGGAGGCATATTTCCATGATGCTTGTTTTCTATCCTGTAGACCAAGAGGCATTAAAAAATCAGAAAGCTATAGCTTTTTCCCTCCCCAACCGTCATGATCTGTTGGTCCCATTCTGTCCATAATGTTTTATGTCAGACCATCTGTAGATACTGTATCACACTCTTCTTTTCTCTAAAAAACAACAGATCAAATCAGATTAACCTTGAAGCCTTGAACTTAATAGATGTGATTCCAGCATGTTGTAACTATGTTTTGTGGTTCCACAGGCTTAGGTATTTCATAGAATAAGAAATCTTTTCACCTGCAGCCCAACTTATGAATTGTTCGCTGAAAATGCATTTCATTTGGAGATTAGGGAACATTGCATGAAATAGTTACATGTCTGTTGATGTGTTTATAAACACCTATTTTAAAGAGAATAAAGTTCAGTGTCCTCCTCTGTCTATACTGCCACTTGGCATCTAGACATGAACTAGTTACATGATATTTTTATTTCCTTCCCCCCTCCACCCAGTAATTTGGCATAGTTTGTGCAAAGTCCCCTCAAGAATCAACATTCCAGTTGCCCTGAAGGGTACAGGAGATTCTTTATCCAATTGTACGTGTGACTCCTTGCTTCTGCTGACTTTCTACTGCTACTGGAAAACCCAGGAGTCTGTAACTGACAGGTTTAATGGTGAGCCCTGCTATTAAAGGTTTTCCTAAGTGCAAGGTAATTCCAAAATTTCCAAACAAAAGTGCCACGCCTCAATAAGAAAACACAAACAGAAGGAAACCATTTGTTTCTACTTGAAGTACTCATTTGCTGCATGGTATACTTCCTTGGATTCCCCAAGATGCTGTTTGAAGCTAATTTATTATTGCCTAAGATCATCAGAGGGGATGTAATTACCTTTAGAAAGGATAGATTTCTTTTCTGGAGTCAAATGAATGTGTTCTGTTTATTTACAAGCAACAAGCCTTGTGTAGTTTCACATGTCAGTGGAATTGCCGTTTTAGTTTGTGTGGACACACAGCATTTCTTTTTACTAGGAGGAAAAAGATAATACCCATTGTATAAGGGTAATAATAACCTCTTCAGTGTCTCCTTTTTCTATCTGTGGTAAATGTATGCAGCTGCTATTTGATGCTTAGCATTACTCTAGGACAGTATTGTCTCTGTTTGGAATCTTGAGTGCTATTCTGAAACTCAGGATCCAGTGCTTGAGTGATGTACACTCCATCCTCCTGCTGGGCATTCCTGAGATATGGAGAGACAGGAACACTACTGTTCTCTGAATGGTTTTTCACAAGGTCTACATAGATTCTCTTCTTTTTATTTGCATGCTGAAAGTAATTCCCCAGCAGTAAGAACCGATTGACAGCTAGTAAGAAGAGAGATAGTATTTTCTAAAGTTTTGTACTTGTAGTGGTATTGCAACAATGAATGTGATTATTTTATTTATTCTCCCCCAATGTCCATAAGAAGCAATAATATCTTGTCTTCTAGGCTTGTGTATTCCATAATGTAAAAAATTGAACTGGAATATTATTTTGAAATTTTTATTTAACTTTGAGCAGGCAAATTGGCCATTGGTCACAGGTAGCTAGAGTATGATTTTGGGGGAAACTGAGATTTTTGTTGCATGGAAAATGAGTTGCATACTAGAATTAATTCTGTGACATTTTCACCTTTGATAAATAAATAAGAACTTAGGTACATGTCATGTGATCTTAGCATTCCATGGTAATGTTACCTGTGGTATTAATTTCTATAGTGCACATTTCCTCTGAGGAGGACTAATGCAGACTCACCCTAACAAGAACAGCAATACTTGGTAACACCGTGTTGCTTTGGATGCAAAGAAAAGTACAGCAAAGTAGTTTTTTTCCTAACAAATGCAGAAGTAATTCATAAATATTTCAGGAAATTAGACCTATAAGGAACTGGAAAAGAGAATTCTGATAAATTGCAATCTCTTATTGTAACTGTTACATTATTAGTGGATGCTGGGAATATCAGTGCCTTAGAAGGCCACAATAATAATTGCTGCTGAACAGTTTCACTAGTCCTTCATTGAAGCTGGTGTACAGGAATACTTGCTCATAAATTACTGTCTCATGTGTGCATATTCAATTATTTTTCAAGGTGCTTTATAAATTTGGTTCTTGTTCTAGTGTAGATGCTCAAATATAGGGCAGCACATACCCTAATGTGCTGTGCTTTGTAGAAATAGTGTATTTTGCATTATGAGCTTATGTATTTATTGTCCCTATTTTAAATTACACTGCAGTGGGAAATATTGCTGCACTGAAATACAGCAGTTTACTTTAGGTAGCACAACTAAATCTTAAAACTTACATTTTTAAAAACATAAACCAGTTGTGATTTAGTAGATTTAGTGTTCTGGACTGGTTATAACAAAAGCAAAGAAGGCTGAATAACTTCTTTCAAGAAAAATCAAGTAATATTTTTATCTTTTTTATTAAACTGTAGGCTCTACTTTTATGTTCTTAATGGGTAATAGAAGCAAAGTAGCAGAGTAATGAGAATTCCTGAACTACTAGGAAATAAAATTAATTCTGATTTGATACATGGTAGTAAAAAGTGAAAAAAAAATATGAGTGATAAACTTCAAATTCACCTTAAATGCAAAATAAAAAGCAGAAAAATTCTGATTACACATGTTTGTTACATACTTTCCACATCCTAGGGCATGTGAAGATGCCCTAGGTTAAAGACATGCTGAGGTTAAAGACACTGATTTTTTTTTTTTTTTTGGCTGAGGTTTTGGCTATAGTTTGCTGCTGTTGAGGAGACATGAGAGAGGAGGGGAAGTACCTCTGACACCAAAAGTGCTTTCTGCAATTGCACACTTACTGAAATCCTGACTTAAGTTGTCTGAAGTAAGCGGCTTGAATTTTCTTCTTACTTTTCAGTAAGGAGAATTAATTTAGAGTCCAAGATTGTAAAACCATTTTACATTGATGATGTAGTTCTAAAACATGGAATTCTTCATGGGAGAGGAAATTAAATTTTTAAGTGTTTATTTGCTTGTCAGGGTTGTTGTCTAGACTAAATTATTCCCTATCCTGTCAAGATCAGTATTAATTGAAATAATAATTTCTGTTATAATTACTAGAAAGTTAAATTTATTATTCCAGTAAAGATGTGGCATAGTATTTTAGTTCAGCCCCTAAAGTGGGTCTTTGCATCCATCTTTAAGTCAGTATAAATGCTACTTTTAAGTCCCATTGGGAATTTTTAAGCTAGCCATGGAATTTTTACTCTGCTCTCGTGGACTTAAACAATCCAGAATATTTTGTCCTCAGGCCTATTCTGGTAACTTTTTTTGTTTAGTTTTGCTCTATAACTGCTATGGATCATCCTAAGCAATCCTCTCCTACCTTAAGTATCCTTGCCTGTTACTGTTTGTACATGTACAGACTCATGTACTTTGCTATCAAATAGGTTTTCACAATGACATGAGAGGTGATTATTTTGTTTGCATAGAACAATTTATTTAGTGTCACACAAGCTGTAAGTTTTCACACACATTCAGTACTCATTATTTCTGGTTAATAAAGGGTATTTAAGTTTTAATTCTTACCTCCATGTGGAAAAGAAAGCAATTTAGCACATTTATCAATGGATAAGTGGGATTTTTTAGGTTTTTTCATATCTGTTTATGTTAAATAATACCACTGCTGCTGTTGACATCCTAAACTACAGTGGCAAAAGCAAAAACATAAAGTGTACCTGTAAGTATTTTCCCCTATGTAATAAATAATTGGCTTTTAGTTTCCAGAAATACTGGTCAGTGAAGTCTTTTTTAGGTATTGTCAGGCAGAACTTCAGGTGTTCCTACGTGCTACTGAATATTGAATTTGAGCTTTACTGACACTGGGATGCAAATCAAGGCTGTTTTCAGCCTGTTTATTTTAACAGTCAATGACAGTTTGAAATACGAACTCACATACTTGTAGAGAAAATTTGATAGGGAAACATACTCCTTCTGAAGGAGGGACTTCCAGTTTGTGGGACACAAAGGATTGCTCAGCCCCCTGAGCTTTTTTACAGACACCTTATTAGCAGCTCCCACTGCCAGTAGAGGCTCACAACAGCCTTAACTTTGGAAAACCTTTTTTTAGGATACTGATACTCTCTGGTTTCTGATACTTACTGTATCTTACTGGTTTAATTAGCAATTTGCCAAGGGTCATTTTGAAGGCATTTCAGAGCTTGTGGAAGCTCAGTTAACTGATTGAAGTTGACCATAGATGGATAGTATCTATTGGCCCTTCCATGGTTATGTGAAAGAAAGAGACTTTGACAGCCATGAAAGGCAGAGAAAGCTTGAGTGGTATCTTTACTATTATAAAATGACTGCAGAATTACTGGAGATCATTGAATCATAGAATGATTAGGTTGGAAAAACATTAAAGACCATCTAGTTAAACCCCTGTACCATGGACAAGAACACCTTCCACTAGACCAGGTTGCTCAAAGCCCCATCCAACCTGGTCTTAAACACTTCAGGGATGGGGTAGCCGCAGCTTTTCTGGGTAGCCTGTTCCAGTGCCTTGCCACCCTCATAGTGAAGAATTTATTTCTAGTACTCAGTCTAAATGCTGCCATTCTTCAGCTTAAAGCCACTTCCCTTTGTCCTGTGCCCTTGCAAAAAGTCCCTCTCCACCCTTCCTGTAGGCCCCCTGAGATCCACCCAGCCTAATCCAGCCTTTGACACCAAAGTACACGTATGGATTTGTACCCCTTGATCTTGCTTCTTACCCAATCTCTTCAGTCTCAGCCTATGTGTATCTGCCCAAAAAGACAGCATGCACCAACTGGCATGCAGTTTTTATTAGGAATGCCAGAAGTAATTCACTTGTGTATATATGACCTAAAAAAGCTCAAACAAACAAACACAACACCTAAATAAATAAAGTACCCCCAAAAACCAACCAACCAAACAAAACCCAACAACAAAAAATCTTTGGCTGGAGTAGAGAGCTGGGAACTAGAAATGAAGCAGATGTGCAGCATTTCAGTACAGATGGCTGTATAGTTTTTGCTAGGGTTTTCCAGTTTTAGGGATAGCATTCTCAGGGGAGTGCACAATGCTTCGCATTTTCCTCTACTTTGTTTCTTTGCCATGCTGAATGTTCTTTTTATGCTAAATGGACCTTGTTTTGCCTTGAAAGAAGAGAGTTATAAGAGTTGGATTTCCTAGATTTTATTTCTGTTCTTGCATTGATTTAATGCAGATTTACATGTACTGAAGTATTATACTATTTAATCACTTTAGAGAGTGTTCTAAAATAATCTCTTCATTGCTCATGTGTTTTCATCTCTGTGTGAAAATAGTGGGCTAAGTTTGCTTTGCAGATACAAAGGTTGTTCTGCTGAGGTTCTCCACCAAGTTAGATAAAATAATTTTCTGTGCATGTCCAAAGTTGTTGTTGTTGAATTACCAAGAAGTACCCCTAAAAAACACTTCTGAAACTTCTGCTTACCCTGTTTCTTGAATGAAGATTAAATGGGATGAGACACAATTAAACTGCTTAAAGGGTCTGAAGAATATAATATTTCAGATTTGGTGGGCCTAGGGTGTAAATATGAGTATGAAATATGGAGGAATATTTCTATGAATTTTGGCTTAAGTGGGTCTCAGTACTTTGTACCTGGACATTTTCACAGAATCATTTAGGTTAGAAGAGACCTCTAAGATCAAATCCAGCCTTTGACTGATCACCACCATGTCAAACAGACCTTAGCACTAAGTCCAGTTGTTTCTGGAACACCTCCCTCATGTCCATCCTGAACCTCCCCTGGTGCTTCATGAAGCTATTTGGTCTGGTAGTATGACACAAAAATATTCCCAAACTTTAGTTCATCCAGAATAAGCCTCTGTACTCTGTCTCTTTGAAAGACAGCTTGTGTTTATAATTCAGCTCATGCTGTGACTGTGTATTTGTGTTTTGTGTATGTGCATATATAAAATTGTTTGAGATTATAACAGGGGTTCTGAGAGTCATGTAGCATTCAAAAGAATAAGAGAAGTCTGCATGTTGTGGGTGTAAAGGCTTAGGATTGTTGTAATATATACTTTTTTCTTCTTAAAATATGGAATTCAAGGTAGCAAAGTCATGTGGTTTTGCCTTAGGATAAGTTAGTACATGATCCCCTCTGTATTTGTGCTTTTCAAGTATGCCTGGTAGACTAGGTGTTCACAGGTAAATGATACATTGTTTTAAAAGAGTTTGTCTTTTTTTCTCTTTTTTTAATTGTAGGAGTTCCACCTGGAATATGACAAATTAGAAGAAAGGCCTCATCTGCCATCAACCTTCAACTACAACCCTGCTCAGCAAGCCTTCTAAAGACTTCCCTTTTCTTGGGGTATGGCTGTCTCAGCACAATACTCAACATAACTGCAGAACTGATGTGGCTCAGGCATCCTGGTTTTAATTCCTTGAGGATCTGGCAATTGGCTCATGCGAAGGGTCACCATTTGAGGTCCTGCCTTACTAATTATGTGCTGCCCAACAACTAAATTTGTAATTGTTTTTCTTTAGTTTGAGCAGGGTCTGAATTTTTGTTTTTGTTTCCTTTTTTGCCAGCAGACAAGCTTGGGTCTGTAAAGACAAGCGAGTACACTGACAAAAGTTTACCACTTAGTTTTCCAAAATGTAAAAACAAAAAAAAAGAAAAAAGACAAAAAATTAGACAACAAAATTTGCATTGTTCATTGTAGCACTATTGGTAATAAAAAATGTTTGTGCATTTTTATGTGAAGATCCTTCTCGTATTTCATTTGGAAAGATGAGCAAGGTTTGCTTCCTTCATTTTACTTCCCCTTCTGTCTTTGAAAGGCAGTTTTCGCCAAGCTTAATGCAAGAATATCTGACTGTTTAGAAGAAAGATATTGCCACAGTCTCTGGTTAGTTTCCAGGGTTGTGTATTACTGAGCTTCATCTTTCCAGAATGAGCAAAACACTGTCCAGTCTTTGTTACGATTTTGTAATAAATGTGTACATTTTTTTTAAATTTTTGGACATCACATGAATAAAGGTATGTATGTACGAATGTGTATATATTATATATATGACATCTATTTTGGAAAATGTTTGCCCTGCTGTACCTCATTTTTAGGAGGTGTGCATGGATGCAATATATGAAAACGGGACATTCTGGAACTGCTGGTCAGGGGACTACTTTGTCGCCCTGTGCACTAAAGGGCCAGATTTTCAGCAGCCAAGGACATCCATACCCAAGTGAATGTGATGGGACTTAAAGAAGTGAACTGAGACAATTCACTCTGGCTGTTTGAACAGCAGCGTTTCATAGGAAGAGAAAAAAAAAAGATCAATCTTGTATTTTCTGACCACATAAAGGCTTCTTCTCTTTGTAATAAAGTAGAAAAGCTCTCCTCACTGCAGTGTTGACTTTGATTTGAGATTGTGAAATTATTTCTTCAACAATGAAAAATGGAAAAAAAATTGAAGTATTAAAACTATCGAGCTGTACAGTGGTTAAGACACTTGAAGAGTCTTTTTGCTGCTGACAAGTAAATTTATGAGAATTTCATATTCTTTTCCACAGTAAAGTTTCCACGGCTAAAAACTTTGGTTAACCTTGGTTTCAGATCCCCTCTTTATAATAGCAAATAATTTTTAGAAAGATGGGTGGGTACCATGTCAAATAATAGGAAGATGCTTCAAGAATTCATCACTTGGGAGAAGCTTGGGTTAGAGCTGATCACAGCTTATTTCCATATTGGTGTTTTCCCACTTAAAACAGAAATACATTTCATTTGGTGATTGCTATTACTTGAACTTCTAGATGCAAATAAACATGAACATAGACTGTTTCTGAAAACTGTAACTGTTCTGAGCGGAGAAAGAAAAATCTGAACTGTTGGAATGGTTTTCTTTTTCTAGATATTATTGCCACTTCTTATTGAGTTGCCTCTGGTGATGCAGATCATTGAAAAATACCTGAAATTACCAAAGCAAGACATGTTAGTGAATCCTGGAATTTTTTTTTCCATTTTAACCTATTTTTCTATGTAGTGCAAAAGCAGCTTGTTTTGCATGTATTTGAATTATGCTTGGAAATTGGACCATTAGTGGCCTTGCTGTGGTTCTGTATCAGGTATATGGCGAATCTTCAATTCTGAATTTTTTAATATCTATTTTAAGATGGTAAACATAAAAATATTATTCTGTTGATTATATTTTTTTTTCTATTATTAAAGCAAAGTTTTCCCAGCTTGAAAGAAGAGAATGGTTATAATCCATATAATTAACACAGCTGAAAAAGATTGTGGCTTGTTCTGTTTCTCAAACCAGAGCAGATTCAAACATATATTTGATTATCCAAATATAAATTTATAAATTTTCAGAATTATAATTTTCCAAAAGCATATTGTTCCCGCTACAATTAATGTTACATTTTTTTACTGTCAGGTTCATTATGACCTGAGTTTTTAGGTTGGTTTTTTGTTGGGTTTTTTGGGATTTTTTTTTTTTGCTAAGGATTCCTGAAGTGATATTTCCTTCTTCAAATCAAATGTCATTATTTCTCATGTTTATGGAAATTAACAACATATGGTAGAGGGAGTAAGATCAGCTGCATTAAAATACTAAGTACCTATGACACTTCTAAAAACAGTTAAGCTGAAATTGGGAACCTAAGTTCTCCCAAAAAATACTTGATGTTACAGTTGTTTTCAACTGCCCAGTGTTTCAGAAATCTGAAATGCCTGAGTTTTGGGAAACTTCTCACCGGTGAGCACAGAACTGGTGCTTTGCTGCTTCCAGGTGGGAGAACAGTATGGCTCTCCTTTATCAGTTAAATAAGTATGTATGGAGACTTTAAAATCTGTGACTTAATTTCATATTACACTGTGGGTTGAAGCAAGAGAAACAGATATAAAGAGAAAACAAGGTGTAAGGTTGAAGCGATTTCTTAACTGATACCATATTAATTTTAAAAACTAAAAAAAAGAACATACTGCGTTTTTTACTGAAAGGAAGAATACCTCAGCCCTCATCTACCATACTCATGTGGCAAATGGGTGACTGAATTGCCCTGCAGATTTTCAGACTGACAATTAAGGTCTGAGGCTTATTTAATATGTTTTTACATTACACTAACACTATAAATAGGAATATACTAGAAGCCTGTTTTTAAATTTGAGGTGGGTGTTTTTCCCCATAACTAGTTTTGTACAACAGTGTGCAAGGTAAGTTCTGGGTAGAAAACCCAGTGTTCTTGGAAAAAAATATTCCTATTTCTGGCGTGTCCAACATGCTCTCATAGTCCTTGTTGCATATTGTTTAAAAATCTTCATTGAATAGTTAGCTCCACTTTCTCTGCAAATCCACTACCTTCAACTTCCAAGGTTTAACAGCAGTTTCACTGATTTGATTACACCCACTATTGCAGAAGATACTTCGTATTTCAACAGTTGGTACTCAAACCACCCTGCTTGTGGAAAAATCAAGGGTACCAGAGTGTCCTGAAGGAAAAGGATAAGGATGCTCCACTGAGCTGCGTAGAAATAAACAAAAACCACCCTGCACTCCATCTCCTCCACCTTAGTGGTCTGGTGCCACAAACACATGAGCACCTGAGAACCTTCATGGGCTTGATTAATCTAATTCAAGATCCAAGTAACCCAGGGAAGCCTGCAGGTACTCACATGGGTAAAAATATTTTTCATATGACTGTGACCTTCTGTGAAGTGTCAGCTGCACCTGTGTTGGGATTCACAGCTGAGCACACCACTCCCTCCTGGCTGTGTAGCATTTCTGCAGTGCAAGGATGTATGATTATATCACTTGGCTGCATGGCAGGCCTGAAATCCTCTCTGACCCCCAGCCAGTACTTCTTGTACTGGTCTGATTCCGTTTTACAGTTTCCATGAAAAAAGGGAGAATGTACCCAAATAAGAATTTGTGTGTTGTGGTCAGATGCAAGATTTTTGCAGTCTTGACAGACTGTTTCTGTTGACCATGAAGAGACAAGAAAGAATCTTTGGCATGACCTAGGCAGTGCTGGGAAAGAGAGGTCTGTGGGGTCATCATCTTGGTCCTGAGTGGCTCCTCAATGGCCATGGCCATGGAAGAAGGCTGTCCATCTTCTAAATAATACTGTTTAAAGTTACTAGTCACTTAAAAGTAACTTTCCCCCCCACCCAATTCCTTGTAACTTCCATTTTAAAATCCTTCCATGGCTGGACATTGAATGAAACAAAAAGGAAAAACTGGTTGCTATCTGTCACACTCAAGAAAAGCCTCTAAATGCACAGCTGCCATCCTAAGCATGGGATAGCTAGACAGTGCTTTTGGTTTAAGGTCCTAAATATAACAATTCTTTTCAAGCCAAATTTCACTGTGCTTAGTTTTCAAGTACCTTTTCATTGTGTCCCTCAAAATTTGCCACTGGCCAAAATTATTGCTAGTAGAAGTTGAATTCTGATAGTGCAGAGTGGACTAAGAAGTTAGTCTGGATTGACGGCTGATGCTTTTATTTTCGTATATAGTATCTGAATTAATTTTTTTTTCTCTGTGATAAGCATGCATGCTCTCGTTTCCATAAATCTGAAAGCTTCCAGTACATTAAAAAGACCTGAGGAAATGCAGCTGGATAACCTACTTTGAAATTTTGGCTTTAATATTTTCAGTACCTTTACTCCTTAAAACCACTTTAGTGTTAGAGGTGAACTTTTTATTTTTGAAAGTAATGTTAAAGCACATTGAACAATAGCCATGACTGTTACTGATTCAGTTCACTTCTGGATTCGCAGATGTGAACCAAGTTTGTGTGGTTTTTTTCTAGGCTTCAGTTTCTCATTTGTATTTCATATTGTCTTCTTGGTACTAAAGAGCTAATATATGTGGGTATATGTCAAGTTTTTTCCTGATGAAACTACCAACATAATTTTCTGTAAAATCACCTTTTGAACTCCCTGTGGTTTAGCAAACAATCCAGTGAAGTAGCCAGTTGTCATGATTGGGCCATCCTGCATCAGCTGTAAACAGTCCTGATGAGGAGCCAAAGGAAGGCAGGTGTCCCAGAGCTGCTCTGGTGCAGGCATTGATGAACCTCTGTGGAAACCCTTCAGTGCTCTCTAAACTCATTCTTGACTAAAGGGTGGCTTTGGTGGTTCCAGAGATCTCTCTTCCCTGGGAAGGCCCGTTGACTTTCTGGTGCACATCACAGTATTGGTTTTATAAAGGCATTCTGTTGTTTTATATAAACATTTGCTTTTGGAAAAGGCAGTTCCCTTCCCGGGAGAGGCAGCATCCCACGGAGCAGCACCGGGCTTGTGCAAGGGAACGGGAGCGGGGCGCTGTGAGCCCGGCCCCATGAGCGGCCTGGTGGGTGCGGTGGCAGAGCTGCCCTGTGCCTGCCCAGCCTGCAGCTGCCCCACCAAGGCACAGGTGTTCTCAGCACTGCCCGTACCCACTGCAGGTGGGTCAGCTGCAGCTGGCCACAGGTAAGGCTGTCCCTTGGGGCCCAAAAGAGCAGGATCTCTTCTTCTGCTGTTGAGATTTTCATACAGACGCTGAATTTTGTATGCTGGCTTTCTCAGCCCTGGTGGCTCCTGGTGCAGCCAGGGTCCTGGAGCCAGCATCCCCCCTCCTGCCCTCGGCAGGTGACAGCAGAGCTAAAATCTTCACAACAGGCCCCCTTCACTCTGCTACAATGATCAGGCATTGATGATCATTTTTCTCTTCCAATTGATCCAAATAGACTTTGAGTCTTGACTGAGTCATTTGTGCAGAAAAGTTCAAAATCTATGAGATCACCTGGTGAATGCTAAGGCCATTCCCAGTTAAAATACAGCTTCAGCCTCTCCCCAGCTGTGGAGGATGTAGGGATTGGATGCACACAGGAGGACTCTGTCACCCAGTGAGCTGTTGCCTGAATTTCCGCCTGACAGCGCCTGATGTACAAGGGGCTGCAGGGAGTTGGACCGAGTATGGAAGGCCAGCTGTTCAGAAGGTAAGACATAAAGAAGCTGCAGCTCACTAACACTGGGAAAGCAGAGCTGGAGCTTCTCTTTCAGGTGGTAAGTGACCAATCAACCTGATTATAATGTTATTTTTTATATTATGAAAACTCTATGCAGTAAGCCTCTACCATTAGAGACTGCTGTTACCACAAGTGCTGGCAGCAAAACCTGATGATGGGTATGAATGAACAGAGCTAAGGACTAAGCAAGAGGAGTTGAGTTTCTAGTATAAACACCTATAGGAGGTTTAAGTAAAAAACCATAATTCTGGCTCAGAGCTGGTATACTTTTCCAGAAACCCTTTGATAATCAGGGCAGGCTACTGCAAAGCAGCTGGCTTGAGAGGAGTGTGGTAGTGCACTTGTGCAAGCAAGGACAATATTTACATCCATCTATATTCATGGCACAGCGTGGACTCTTAATAGCCTTCCTGCCAAACCTTGCTTAATAGTCCATTTGGAGAACCTATGGATCAGCTTCATTTATAAAAGTTTGACGTTGCACTCTGCAGTGGGAAAGAGATTGAAAAAGGAAAGTGCTATTTCCCGAACTTTTTCTGTGTTTCTATGCCTTCTTCTCTGCTGTGTCATCAAGTTCAGGTATCAGCTCTGGGCTCACATTTTGTTCTACCTAATTGCCTGTGATAAAGATGACAGAATAGAACTATAAGAATTGCTACGGTACTTTGGCACCAAAGCACTTGTGTTGCCACAATGGGAAATGCTGGGTAATAACCAAACTTTATTTGCCAAATAAATATATTTTCTTGAATCAGCGGCTTTTCTTGCAATCCTGCTTGGAAGAGAGCACTTCTTAGGGTGAACCTTCAAAGGTCAATACCTTCCTGTTCAAAGCAGTTCCTGTGTGTGATGGCTATCATCTTGTCTGTTATCTCTGTCCCTGCTGTGCAGATGCTGGTTTTGGGGCTGGCCAGAATACTTTACCCTGCAACCCAAAAATGTTAACATTTTGCCAATTTCCATTATGTCCCTTCTTAATTAATAAGGTAAAAATAGAAGATGCCTTCCCACTTTAATAGTTTCAGTAGCTTTACTGAATATTTCAGTATTTTTACTGAAATATTCAGTAAAGCTACTGAATATTTACTGACTTGTTCAGTAGCTTTACTAGCTATTTAATTTCTTCAATTTGAGATTAGTTTCCTCCTCTACTCATAGAGACCTTGCAGACTTTGATGCCTTGGGGGTACTAAACCGGACTTCACACAAGATCTCCAGGATTTAACCAAGCCAGTGTTGCCTTAGAGGGGGGCCACAATGCGCCCAAAGGACCCCACCCACCCTCTTCTAGATGTTGTACATTGCATGATGGTACCCAGTATTAATCCGGACTAGCGCTCCGCACAGCAAATCTCCGGGGTCAGATAATCCCGCTGCAATCTGTCCCTTTCCACCCCCGGAGGGCCCTGAATTAGGTCAGACGGGATTAAATTTGCATTTTATTTATATATCTTTTTTTTTTCCGTGCTGGTTACACGCACAGTCAGCCTCGGAGGAGGCGGGGAGGGAGGCGGGGAGCGGCGGCGGCTTTAGCCGATGGCAGAGGCTGATGCCCGGCGGCGGATGCCAGCGGCGGCCGGGCGATGGCGAGGAGCCGGGCGGCTTACGAGTACACGGAGGCGGAGGACAAGAGCATGCGGCTGGGTTTCCTCCTCATCGCCGCCGGCTTGCTCTCCCTCCTGGGTTTGGGCTGCTGCTGGCTTCGCCCGGCGCTGCAGGAGCGGGGCGGCGGCGGCTCCGCCAACTGCACGGTGCTGGCGGTGCGGCAGCTGGGGGAGCGCTTCGCCTGCACCTTCTCCTGCGGGGCCGCCTGCCGCGGCACCGCCCGCTACCCCTGCCTGCAGGTGCTGGTCCGCACCTCCCGCTCCTCCGCGCCCGCCCTGCTCCATGAGGACGAGCGGCAGCTGCGCACCAACCCCAAGGTGAGACCCGCGGGCTCCCTCCTCTCGCTCAATGCGGGCGGTGGTCCCGCCGCGCTCGGTGCCCCTTCACCGCTCCCGCTCCCGCCCTCTGTTCCGTGCGCGGATTTCTCTTCTAGATGTGAGGGGTCGTAAGTGAAGTGGGGAGCATCCGTCCGAAATTCCGCTCTGCTTGTTGCTCAGCAAAAAGTAGTGTATCTCTACAGAGTGTATCTATAAACATGCACTGTACATCTATATTTATATGTTGTGTTTATATCTATATCATCTCAGGGAAGGTTTAGGCTCGATACTAGGAAAAGGTTCTTCACCCAGAGGGTGGTTGGGCACTGGAACAGGCTCCCCAGGGAAGTGGTCACAGTGCCAAAGCTGACAGAGTTCAAGAAGCGTTTGCTGTCAAACACATGGTGTGACTCTTGGGGCTGTCCGGTAAAGGGCCAGAAGAAGGTCTTGATGATCTCAGTGGGTGCCTTTCAATTCGGGATGTTTGTGATTCTATATAGCATAGACATGCATATATATATATATCTATATAGCATATAACATGCTCTCTATATTGTATAATGTACTATATAGTGTATTGCGCTGTACTATATACTATACTAAGTATGATACATACACACACACACAGACTCTCACACTCTCATACTTCGCTGCCATCCCCATCCCGTCCGTCCCGCCCGCGTCCGGAGCGCAGCCCCCGGGTGGCGGCGCAGGGACAACAGCGGAGGCTCCTGTGCCGCTCCCGGCCCGCCGGAGCCCGGGACGCCCCGGGAGAGGAGCAGAAGCTGCTGCTGCCGACGGGGCGGTCTGTCTGTCTGTCTGTCCGTCCGGGCAGCGCTCGGTGCCGCTGCATGGGGACCTGGCAGCGCCGCTGCCCAAAGCGCACGGAGACTCGGTGATGGAACTGCTGCTGGCGGGGCGCTGGGGAAGGGGCTGCGCCAAAACAAAAGTTTCCCCCGGGCTGTTTTGGTTCTTAAACTCCTCCATCACCCGCACGAAAAGGGACAAAACGAAGAATTCGCGAAAGTTGCATCTTCCAGCAAACTGGGGAAGGCAAATGTGTGACTTGTGCTTTCTCTTTCTTTAAAGGCAGTTACTCTGCCTTCTCCTTCTTCTTTTTATGCTGGGTAAAGATGGCTTTTGACAGCACACACCTGAGTGGAGGAGATCTTATTAAGGAGTTTGAAGAAGAAAAACACAAATATGTCGGAATGCTCCTACTCCTGAAAGAACTTGAAATTAGGAGTGTATTGGAGAAGGAAATTTCAGCTCTTTGACTGAGATGTGGATGCCAGATAGTGCCAAGGGCCATGCTCAGCACGATGCAGGGGCTGGGAAGCATGCTTGGGTGTCCAGCTGAGATGTGCAGCCTCACGTCTCCTCAGTCATACTTGTGCTGGTGTGCTCCATCCCTTGGAAGGCAGGTTAAGTTTCACACTTGGGGTTTGAGGGTTGCTTTTTCCCCCTTGGCAGCTTGGAAGGGTGGTGAGGGTAAAAATCAGCAGAGTAAGCAGCAGGATGGTAAATCTGGCAGGATTTGGATTAAATTGTTGGCACCGCTCAGAAGTGATGAGTGATTGGAGCTGCAGTGCTGGATGGAGCCTGATCACAAAGCAGAGGAAGTGCTGGCCTGTGAGGGAGCTTTGCAGGCCTTTTCCTGGGAGCGCTGCTGCCAGGCCCCCTGTGCAGGGGGCTGTGGTGGCACAGCTGTGCCAGGAGTGCCCTAGCTGGCTGAGCTGCAGGACTCCTCTGAACACCTCTCCATCTGCAGGCGGGCAGGGGGAAGTTGGCAAAATGCAGGAGAAAAGTCGCCCTTTGAGTGGGGGTAACGATGACGTGGCTCTGCAGAGGGTGCAGCGTGGCTGTCCCCGAGCTCGGCCCTGTGGCCCTGCTGTGGCCATGTCCAGCAAGGATGGAGCTGGGAGATGGGAAGGGGGAGGTGAGGGCTGATTGCCACCACAGTGCCTGGGCTCAGCAGCTCTGGCAGCCCTGCAGGCTCAGCAGCAGCTCTCAAACCGGACCGTGACCACACTGTCCTTCTGGTAGTCCAAGGGCTTTGCTCTGTTCTTACTTCTTGATCTTATTTTCTTCTGCCTTTCTGGAAGTGTGGTGGGAAGAGAAGGATTGCACCTGGCTGAATTGCAATTGCAGGCAGGCACTCCGAGCTTCAGAAGTAATGCCTGTAAATGTCACTCAGAAAACTATTTTTATTTACAATTAATTTCATGTTAACTCTACATAAGAAAACAGGGCTGTTGGCAGTGTGTGGTACTTTCTTGCTTTTACAAATATAATCTGTTTTCTTTACCTTCCACCTTGCATCTCTAGATGTGGGCTGTTTACCCTGGGATATTGATTGCTGAGGATTAAATCTGATTTACCAGATGTGACCAAGCAGAAAGGATGCATTTTTTTGATGTAACTGTATTCTTTGGTAGTAATTGAATTTATCTCAGTGGAAAACTGTGTAGAAAAAAAATGTACTCTAATTATTTTTCCTACTTTGAGAAGCTTATGTAAAACAAAAAACAAAATAAGAAGAAAAGTTGGTTAGGTCACTTCAGGAAAAAATACCTTTGTAAGGGATTGAAGTCTGCATCTGTTTCTTTGGTTTTCCCCTTTTTCCCTACTTCAATGCCTGTGGAGCCAAACACTTACGCCCTCCTTTAATTTTTGATTTCAAGTCTTGCTGTCTTTGAAAGCTTTCAGGATTTTATGCTGGAACACATTAGCCAGAGGCACAGAGTAGGAACCTGCAGGATTTAATGTTCAGGATCCTGTAGGTAGTGATGAACAAACACTTAGAGATCTGTTTAACCCTTCCGGTTCCCATCACATTTTGCACTATGCCTCCTTGTGTTCATGCATTTAGACATACATACAACATGTTAATCAGACATACATACAACATGTTAATCAGTTCTCACTAGTTAGAAGGGAAGAAGAAGACCAATTTTTTTTGAACATTTTTTAAATTTTACTTTCTGCTTAGGTGCTTCTCTTTGTGGGGTAGCAATTTTTCCCTGTAAATCAATAGTGTTGAAAGGGCATAGTTCAGGCTCCTTACAACACACAACAATAAAAAATCAGTTGGTAGCTTCACTCCACCCAAAAATCCCCAGGGTATTTGATTAAAAATCTTCTACTTTCTGTAGTAGAGCAGGCTGACATATAAACATATCACAGATATGAATGACTGTTCCAGTGAGGAAAAATATTTTTCTAGATGCAGGAAAAAGAATTTTTTTTTCTTCTCTTGCTTTCTAAGATAATCACATCATTGTACAGCCCAGGATTCATTTTAGCTCTTAAAAGATTATATAGCTGGGTCAGAGATAATCCAGGAATGTATATATAAAGCACTGAACATGATTACATTTGTGTTCAGTCTGAGTGATCTGTGGATTTCCTTTTTTTTTTTTTCTGATTGCTGTCTCAGAGGAAGAAATTCATTGGAGTGACTGTAGCCTTTCTTCAGCTGCCTTGATAGCAATAATAATCTCTGAGATAAGGCTTGAGCAGGATTAATTCCAAAGTCAATTTGTCACTGCTCCTCTCCGGCCATGGGGTACGTTGGTCATGCACAGGGACCAGGCCCAGGGGAGTATGGCAGCTGCTGAAAATGTCAGCTCTCTGGCTTTTTAGACATTTCCTTTCTACATCTGCAGTTAAGTGTAGGGTTAGAAGGAGTTGCCCTCTGTTTTGCCAAGGAAACTTTTAGGGGAGTGGCTGGTAAGGCAGATGTTGGCAGCTGTGCAGAGGGGACCTGGTTCTCGCCCTCCTTGTCCCCAGACAAGGAGCAAACAGCAGCTGCTGCCTCTTGTCTGCTCTCCACTCCTGCCCGTGCCCCTGTCGTGCTTCTCTGTGTAATGGCTCCACATGACAGGATGATGTGCAGCCATCTCTTCTGCACACCTCTAAATAGACTTGGGCTTAATTTTTGGACTCTCTTAAATATGGCCTGTGGCAGAGGAGGTTTCATGACAAAGTACAACTTGACAATAACTTTGTGAGTGTCTGGAGCCTCTGTCTGGTGAAGCATTCAGATCTGTGTTTGGGCTGGTACCTGGGACAGGCAAACTCTGCAGAGGCTGCCAAGCAATTCCTCTGGAAGTGGGCCCAGGGGCCATGGATAAACCCTATAACCAACTTGTCTCACCTGGGCACCACTCCCTGCCTCCAGCCTCTGAGAGGGGTCATGGGTTGTGCTGGTGGGCTGTGCTGATGATGATTATGATGATGATTTGCACTGACAGATGCAGGTGAAAGCCAGGCATGGTGCTCAGCTCCATTTCCCTCAGGACCCTCAGCTGGGAGGGGCCATTTCTGTACTAATGGAGCGAGCCTACCTGCTCTGCCCTGCCCAGTGGGATGGCTGTGGCAGCCCTTCCTCCCCTCCACGCCGTGAAGGTAACCCAGGAGTGCATGGAGACACACACAGAGTTAGGAGAAGCTCATCTACTGCTCGCTGCGGTGGGTTGACCCTGGCTGGACTTCAGGTCCCCCCTAAGCTGCTCTATCACTCCTCAGGTGGACAAGGGAGAGAAAATATAATGAAAGGCTTGTGGGTTGAGATAAGGACAGGGAGAGATCATCCATCCTTTATCATCATGGGAAAAATGTACTTGACTCAGGGAAATTAATCAGGTTTATTGCCAATTAAATCAGAGAAGGGTACTGCATAAATAAAATCAAATATAAAAATGCCTTTCCCCTGCCCATCTTTTCCTCCAGAGCTTAACTTCACTCCTGATTTTCTTTACCTCCTCCTTCCCACCAGCACAGAGGGAATGTGGGCTGTGGTCAGTTCATCACACATTTGCACTCCCCCCTGTTCACACTCTTTCCCTGTTCCAGGGTGGGGTCTCTCCCGCAGGAGACAGTCCTGCATCACCTTCTCCAGCGTGGGTCCTTCCCACAGGCTGTAGTTCTGTATGAAGCGCTCCAGCATGGGCTCCTCTCTCCCCAGGAGCACAGGTGCTGCCAGGACCCTGCTCCCATGTGGGCTTCCCTCAAAGCCACCACCTCCTTTGGGATCCCTTTGCTGTGGTGGGGGTTCACCATGGGCTGCAGGTGATCTCCACTCCAGCAGGTGTGGTAAGGCTGTGCCCCACCAAACAAATGGCACAGGCTCTGCCCCACAGCTCACCAGGAGCCAGCAGGATGCTCCTCCACAGCTCACTTGGAAACTGACTTCGAAGTCTTGCTCCTGAATTACTTTGTCTTCTGTTGGGCTGAACTGCTTCTACTTTGGGCTGGAATGTCTCTTCACATTTGAAACTTTCTTTGACTTGTAGTCTGTCAAGTCTGTTTTTTTTTTAATTAAAAACGTGACTGAATTAGGCAAGAATTGATCTTTGAAAAGCAAGAAATTCAACCTGGAACTTAAACCATAGTCAAGAGTTCATGCATCTGCTCTTTCTCTGTGATATGGAAGAATATCTGCCCTCATTAAGTGCTCAGATGTACCAGGAATCTTTCCAGGCACCTGCAGAGACTGAAGTGGGAGCATCCAGCAGCAAACACAGATACAAATCCTACAAAACCTTGGCGTAAAGATGTTTTGGCTATTAACTGACCTTTTCACTGGTGTCCCAGCTTGCTTTCAGTTGGCATTCATTTATGTTTTGATGTCAGTATTTCCTGCCATGTCTTGCATGGGAGGACTACAGATTTAATGTTTCAGAAACTGCCTATTGCCAAAGTGGAAATTATTTCACATCCATCCATCAAGTCACAGCAGCACAATTTGTGAGGACAAGATTCCCTTTTATCTGCCTGCTGGATCTGCTTTGGAGGGTGATAGATGTGGCAGAGCAAAGTGCCCTAGAAGTATGAAGAGAGATCCAGCCCCTGTGTGGGTCAGAAAGGGACAAAAATCACCTTGGATTGTGGGGACAGTGCTGGCATCCTGGGGAGGCAAACAAGCTCCAGTGTTTGTGCAGCAGCTGACAGTGCTCACTCTGGGATTGCATCTTGGGTGCTTTCTGGGGCTCAAGGCCTTTGTCATATGGAGTTGATGTTTCAGGGTGGCCCCTGGGATTCATATTTGGGCAGGGACCATTCCTCTCCTCAGGACTGTTAATCCTCAACAGGCAGAATCAGAGAGGCCACGTCAATTTATGCAAGACCGCAGGTGTCTCCTTTGTGTTTTCCACATGGAGATAAAGAGGAAGAGATAGAAATGTATCCAGATGGTTTCTGTCAGCTGGGATTATGTGTGCAAAAAATGATGTGAAGTTTGAGTTATGGAAAACATTCACTGTTGTGCCCACCTTCCGGGGGTCCCTCCTGTAGGCACTGGCAACACTCCTATACACTGCTTTGCTTTGGCACAGGAAAACACAGAAGTGCTGCCCAGAGAAACTCTGTGGGCCCCTTTACATCTTCCAAACCAAGAAAAATCCCTGCCCTGAACAACTCAATTTCTTATATTGAGCTAACAGCATGGGGACTGGTGGGAAAAAACATGAAACTCTCTGTGATGAAATGTCCTGGGAGACTGCTAAAGCTTGACACTTGTCTGTTCAGAGGGATATCTCTTGGGAAAAGAGACCTCTCTGTTGTTTTGAAGCCTGAAACTCAGCATGGGGCTAGCCAACAACTCACCAGGTTATGAACTTTGTGAAGGATTGAAGTGATATTTTGTGGGGTGGAAGGTCTCTGAAGGATCCAGAGAAAGTTTAACCAGGACTCATGGGGCACTGGCTGCTCTTTCATAGCAGAGGACAGCAGCAGGCTCAGCCAGGAAGAGGAAACATTTCAGAGGACAGAGGAAATATGTGCACAGGAGCCAGGAACACAGGAATAGGAGCTTTGAGATAGCTGGGTGCATTTAGGCAAAATAATCTCTATTGGTACTTAGCTGGTTTGTCTAGTTATGCATTTTGTGTGCTGCCTAAATAGTGTCTGGTTTGGGAGCTCTTTCTGGAGCCCCTAAAATCTGGGGGCTGCCCACAAGCTGGGGCTGGGAAGAGCAGAGTGTGATTACTGTCAGATGGAGGCAGTGAGTGCACAGCCCGTGGGGTTTGGTGCCATTCCCAGGGCAGGGAAAGTTCCCTACAGGAAAACCTCAGAGTGGAGGGTGTTGGAAGGGCTGGGGCCCGGGCCAAGCAGGGAGCAGGGGAGCAGCTGGGAAGGTGCAGCACATTGGGGCTGGCAGGGTCAGAGCAGAGCCAGCAGAGCTCTCAGGTGTCTTTGTGCCAAATTTGCTGACTCTGCCCAGCTGCTGCACAAATTGTTTGTGCACTGGGAGTGTGGAGGAAAAAGGGTTTGATGCTTCCAAAGTGGACAACCAAACCAAAAATTCTGCTGACCAAGGAATATTATCTGAGATGGCAATAACAGTATGTGATAAGCCCTGCATTCTGGTCTCTGAAGTAGAGTGGGGTTGCCCTCATTTCTGTCCTCCATCATCAGCAGTGGGACAACCCCTGTTCAGGGTCCTGTGAACAGGGAGCTAAAGGGAGCTCTGTGCCATGGCAACACCAGCCAGGAGTCTATGTGAAAATGAAGATCCTTGCACGTGCAAAGGTAGGTTTCAGTCTGGAAGCAGCAAGGAAGACCTTGCAGATTCTTTCATTCTGAAGCACACAAAACACTGGCAGCGATTGCAGGAGCTGACAGAAGTGGTCAGATTTTACATGATCAGGGGAATAAAATCCTGAGATTTCTCCCTTGCCCTTGGAATGGAAAATCTTCAAGCTGTTGTATGGTGAACATGGTCTTGCAGGTCTGTACATCTTAGGTACAGTGTGCAGCTGGGGGCAAGGTAAGCCCCTGTGAAACCTCAGCAGAAGGAGAGGAAGCACTTGCCAGGCACAGTGAGCCATGGTGAACTTCATGCTCACATCAGAGAGGGCTCTCCTTGCTATTCCTGCCTTCAGGACACAGGAGAAATTAATGTTGTGATCAGTTGTGGGCCCCCTTTAGGGGCTTCCCACACCCTTCACCTTCTGTGTGGGGGGATAGAATGTAAGAAAATAAAGATCGTGCAGAAGGCAATCTCACCCCTGAGGAGCTGCAGCTGTACTAATTACTAGAAATTAGGAACAGACCTGCCCCTTACAGGCCACAGCTGTGTCCAGCAATGATGAGTGCTATAGAAGAGTGGGTTACCTGGGTGAGGAGAGAGTTGGAGTTTGTTGGCTGAGCTGTGAAGAAGGAGTCGGTGCTGTGAGGAGATGCCCATGAGAAATCACCGAGAAGGTATGGGAGCTTTGCAATCAGATGACAACACTTCTGCTTCCTCATCCTTCCTAAGCAGGAGGCTTTTAGCTGCCTTCCCAATCACACTTTTTTTCTGTTTGCAGCTCCCAGTTTCAAAGGAATTAAAATTCAGTGTGTTCAGTTTGCTTGGTGTCTGTATGTCCTGCAGGGAGAAAATCCTCTGTGTTATGGGAGGGTCAGCCAAGCTCTGTCACTCAGTGTGGTTCAACAGCTCCTGTCATGATCTCCTGTGTGGATGCCTGGGAAAAATGAGAGGGATTGTGCTTGGACCCTGGACTCTGATAGGCTGACACTTGATTCAGGGCACTGTTTGCTTTCTGTTGGTTAACTGCCTGTGGATAGGACTTAAGGGTGGTGTGGCAGAGACTTGGAAACAAGGAATGTGGGTGTGGGTGTCTGTGTCTGACCCATAGGGGAGCCTCTGAAAGCCCAGTCCCAAGGGCACCAAGGCAGGGGAGGAATCTCCCTTGCTCTCTGGGCTTTGATGCAGATGACTGAGGGTGGGATCTGGAGGTAGCTCAGCTGCATGCTCAGCTCTCCTTGACTTCTTTCTGTACAGCAGAAGCAGATGCTGAACCTTTCTGCTGAAGCAGGGCTGTGAGCCCTTTTTCTTCTTTCTGTGTGTTGTACACAGTAGAAAAATACCTTCTTATATCAGTGGACATCAGCCAGATATCCCATCCTCTGGGAAAGCTTGCTGGACTCTTTGGGATATTTATTAGCATGATACTTAACTAAACTTCTGATTGCGTGCCTCACTGAAAATAGGAAGTTATTAAAATCCAATCCATGCAGCTGGCTAGGAATACATCAAAATGAAGTTATCATTTTCACATTCATCATGCCAAACTCCAAGATATTATGAGGTGGTTTGGTTTAAGAGTGGAACAAACATGGCAAAGTCTTTCTTTTCTTTCTGAATGCTACTATATTCTTTTCCAGTACGGGCACAGAATAGTTAGCAATTGAAGTGAAGTTCAGCAGGTATTTCTTTTCTGTTTCTTTAGGGCTTTTGTTTGTCATTCTCAGTCAATTTCAGTCATGTTGGTATCATGAGGAAAAGGCAGAGAAGCAATGCCCTGAGTTCCTGAGCACAGCAGTAACCCTGTTTTGCAATGTGTCTTGGCAGTGCTCATACATCCCTCCCTGTGCAAGAGATGATCAGGAGAACTCTGAGAACGTCACGTACAAGCAGAAATACTGGAAAGAGAAAGTGGGATCTCAACCATTCACATGCTACTTTAACCAGCACTTGAGGTGAGTAATCTCCTTTTGGCTGGGCAGGAGTGCTTATGCATCTGCTTCACAGCTGTCCACTGGTTCTGTTTGAACAACCTATAAATGCGTGCATATGTGCACACACACAGAGACCCCCTCCAGGGCAATCTGCTTTATCACACAGAGCTCAGTGCAGAACTTTGCGGCACAGCTCTACTGATGAAAAGCTACCCAGAAAAGAAAGGAGTATTTTTACCACTTGAAGTAAAAATATAAAACACTGAGAAAAGTTTTCCTTAAAACAGGCAATTTTTATAGCAAAAAGTGGGTGTGTGACCCATAGGGGAGCCTCTGAAAGCCCAGTCCCAAGGGCACCAAGCCAGGGGAGGAATCTCCCTTGCCCTCTGGGCTTTCAAGCAGATATCTGAGGGCGAGATCTGCAGGTAGCTCAGCTGCATGCTCAGCTCTTGGTTCTTAACACTCAGGTGGCAGATTTCTGGTGTGGATATTAAACATTCCTTTCCTCCACAGGAAAGAAACCCTATTGTGTTCATGGAAGAAAAGGAGAGATCAGTAAATATGACAAAATAACTCAGCAATTGTGTTCCTAGAGGGTTAATGGATCAGATATAAATAAACAGCAACAGAACTGCCAGGTTTCATATGTGCTTGTAGAGTAGAAAGTTGTAACCTAAAGCATCTCCCCTTCTGTTTCAGTTCTTACTTTTGCTGCCAGTGTTGATGTGACTTTATGTGTATGACGTGTGGTTTCCTTCCTCCAGTAAACAGAAAGGGAAGGGAGTGCTTTTTCCTGTCTCTTTCTGTGTGATCTGCCAGGAAAGAAAAGGTCCTGTGGCTGCAGGAGGAGGTTAGTCCTGTCCCACACACACTGGAAAGGTAAATAGATGAGGGAATAGCTCATGGCTTTCAGGAGCAATTCAGGGCTCAGTCTGGGAGTGTTGGCACCAGATATTTCAGTTCAGAAAGACAATCAGGAGGAAAAGGGATGGCAGGTGGAGAAATGCCTGACTCACTGTGAGTGTCCTGCTCAGTGCCTTGGGGGCTTCAGCTTTGTCCTAGGCTGGCTATAACAATTGTCTCCTTGAAGAGAATAGACACAGCCAGCATGCCCAGGATGAGTTTGTTGTCCCTGGTTAAGTCTTTGCAGAGGGACACCACAAAAACTTTATAGCAAAACTTTTTCCTTTAGAGGGGAAAGAAACATTGCTTACAGCATGCAGAGGTTAAAACTCAGGGCACTCTGAGTGATGGCATCAGACCTTTCAGGGACCTTCTTGGGAGTCCTCTGGTCCTCAAGGTGCCAAAGCTTGGATCTGGTGACCAGCAGCCAAGTTATGATTCTGGTTTGTCTGGGCAGGCAGGTGTTGCCTGTTCCTTGTAGTCCTGAGAACTGGGACTTGCAGCAGCCACTGCCCAAGTGAGCAGGAGAGTCAGAAACATGGGATTGTCTGCAGGAGAAGTCATGGCTAGGATACCTACATCTAAACTGGTGTGGGAAGGATGGTGTAAAAGGTAACTGTGTGATTTTTTTTTTTTTAGTCAGTGGAGAGAAATAGGAGCCTTTTACCTTACCCCAAAGTAAATGCCTGATACAGGTTAGATGCCCAGAGATGTTTATTTCTCTCCTCTAGAGGAGTGGAGGGTGGTAGGTGTCCAGAGCTATGGGAGCTAATTCTCAATTACATTTTGGTGTAGCAAAGACAAAGCTTTTCTTTCTGCCTAGCATCTGACATTTATGTAAGCTGGCACTGAGAAATTGTGCAGCACTCAGGAAGGGTTTTTTTCCCTGAAGGTGCTGAATCCTATACTGCTAAAAGTTCTTGCCAGCACAACGGCTGCCCTGAAACACTGCCTTTTGCTGATCATGCAGCAATTCATACACAGGATGAGAGAGGCTTGCTGCCAGAGATACTAGAAGATAGTCTAAGCTGAAATGTGTACACCATCTATTTTCTTCTGGAGATAGCAATGAGCTTTGGGACATAAGTTCTGCTGACTGGGAATGTGCTTGCTGGGTATACTTTTAGAGCAATGATGACTAAGCAGCCTGAAAAGCAGTGAAAAGAAACCACAACAAAGAGGGAGAAATCTGTTCCCTTCAAAATAGAAGTGTGCATGTTTTCTGAGAGTATTTTTTCACTGTGTGAATAAGCTAACTGTTCTCTGTCAGTCTGTATAAAATGTATAGTAAATAGTTCCTTAGAGAATGTACTGTTTGTAGTGTTAATACTCCCTCTTTTGAAACAGCAGAATAAAATTCTACTTAAATATGCAGGCAATGAAAGAACATCTTCTCCTCTTCATCGAGTTTATTTAATTTTCATTGTCAGAACTGTTGCTGCATGCAGAGTGCACTGTTGGGTAATTTCTCCCTTTCAGTTTGGTGGGTTCAACAGGTTACTTTGGAAAGATGAAAAAAAATGAGGTGCCGTTCTCACTGTTCAAACTTCTGCAAAAGGGATGACAAGCAGACTTGGCAATTTCAACCATTCTTAGTTACTGTAAATCAAACTGCCCAGCAAAATTAGCTGCCTGACATTTGTCTTAGGGAACCAAAGTACAGCTTATCTTGGAGGTCAGTGCTTTACTGAAGAGTGAGGTTTTGCTTTGCACTGTAGGCACTTAACTTCAGTGTTGCACTCTTCTCTGACAAGCTTTGGGACAAGGGGCTCAAGCTGCATGTTCAAGTTGCTTTTCTGGATCTCTGGTGAAGGTGCCTCTCTGTTGGCATCATGAGACCCCAGGCTGAAGGAAGCCCAGCACAGCAGAAACCAGCCTTCAGTTGGTTTCAGACTCTAAAATAAAGGACAAATCCAGATGAAGTTCTCAGGCTGCTGCCAAAGGTTTGAGAAGGAGCTGAGCTCTGGGGCTTTGGTGTTCTGAGTCTCACACCCAAGTGTCCCAGCAGTCTGCAGTCACAGCCTCATGCAAACAGGGGCCACAGCTGCATGCCCTAAAGTGGGAGGCCTGTGGGAACAGGCAGGATGGGGAAGATCCTGTCACTTTATTCCTTCGTGCTCCAGGTGCCATTGACATCCATGACAAGAACAACAAAGAGAGAAGCTAAGATTGCCAGGAGCTGAGACCTCATTGTCTCGTGCCATGCAGAGACAGGCAGAGCAACCTGTGTCAAGTCATTTCTTATTAGTGGCTGATTTCTATGGCATTATTGTTTGTTAGCTCTGGGTTTGTCCCATACACAAGAACACTCTGTGTTTCCTTTGCTGTGGCACAGCAGACGAGCCAGCCATGCTTTAACCTCCTCTGTGTTTGCTGCAGGATGCTGTACGCAATTCATCAGAGATTTGAAGAGCAAACCCTGTCAAGTGATTAGTGACAACCTGTGTGTTGTTGGGGTGCCCTGCAGGGTTCCCACTTATCTCAGAATAATTATGTGTGCAAGCCAAGGGTGCTCAGGTAGCAAGGCTGCTCATCCATAAAATGTTGGAACATAAATCTTGATTTGCTCTGTTACTTCACAGTTTTCTAAATTAATTCCCTCCACCTGTGGAGCAGTGCCTGGGCCTGAGGGGGAAAGGGCTTGACTGTCAGTAAGACACTGTGCTGCCTCTGCATGCAGCCATCCAGCTGAGGATCTCTGCATCTTGCAACAATAAGGGAAAAAATGACTGCTTGTCAGAGCAAAGGGATGTGATTATCTGTGGGGGAAAAAGTCAGTGTATTTCACCCATCTTTAAATCCAGATTGTTTGAATACAAAGATATTTGTAAGGTTTCCCTATCCAGCACCTCCACCTCTGTCAGCCATTGTTCTGCGACATTAGGTTCACAGTTTGGTTCATAAGTGATGAAATGTTTATGTGCTTTTGGTCCTGCATGACATTTTGGTAATCCCTGCCCTGCAATTCTCCCCATGATGTTCAGTAATTGCTCTGCAGGCTCTGATGGAGGCCTGTTTTATTTGGTGCCTGAGCTACCTGGCAGAACCTAACAGGGATGTGTTGCATAATGCAACTAATCCAGTTAGCCCTGCTCAAAGCTCCACAAGGGTCTAGCCCTGAGCTCAAAGTCCTGCTAAAAATAAGTCCTGGTCTCACCTCTTAGCAATGAAAACAAAATTCCTTCCTCCTTGCCTGTTCAGTGAAAGGGAAAGCTGTGTTTTCAGGGGTAAGGCAAAGGCTTCTTCAGGGGTGTTTTTTTCAGTTTGTTTGTTGTTTCACCCTGGGACAGCTGCTGGGCAGAGGAGGTGCTGCACAGTGGCCATCACTGCTGGCAGCAAGAGCCAGCTCTGAATGCCTGAGCATGGCTTGCAATCACTGCAGGGTTTCCCCCTTTTGTCCCACTAGATCTCTTTCTTTCCTCTGCTGTTGTTTTATGCATGGATAACTGGTGTTAGGATTTTGGGTGCATCTCCTCAAGAGGCTTTACATTTACTGGAAACCTGAATGGCAGCATTGCCAGAAGGAAGAGACTGCCAATAATTGTGCTTAGGGTGAATATGCACAACCCCTCTGCCAACATCTTTGAACTGAAGTACTGTAGAAAGTCACAGAGCAAAGATGGGTTTATTGAAGACACTGTATTACAGGAGCAAGGCAACAAATTTAATTGTATCAGCTGATTTTTATAGGGAAAAGAAATATGTTTCTAGGCATGGTGTACCTTCTTTGGGTTCAACATCACTGCCTCAGCACCAGGGGAGTGATGCTCTTAGGCTCTCCAGCAAGGACAGGTCTTTACCATGAGAAGTCTTCCTCTGGGGACAGAGCCTTTCCTTTTCTGTTTCCAAGTAAAACAACAAGCCTTCAGACTGTGGGAGCAGGCAGACCACCTTTAAAAAGGTAGCATGAAAAGTCAAAACTACTAGCTTTGCCAAGCAAACCCAAAGCAGTTATATTACTGTGCTTCAAGTGCTGCAGAATCACAGAATACTCTGAATTGGAAGGCACTCACAAGGATCATCCAATACAGCCACTGGCCCTGCACAGTACCATTCCCAGAGTCACTCCATGTGCCCAAGAGCATTGTCCAAATGCTTCTGGAACTCAGACAGTATTGGTGCTGTGACCACTGCCCTGCAGAGCCTGTTCCAGTGCCCAGCCCCCCTGTGGATGAAGAACATTTTTCTAATACCCAACCTGAACCTCCCCTGACAAAGCTTCAGGCCATTCCCTTGGGCTCTGTCACTGGCACCACAGAGAAGGGATCAGTGCCTGCCCCTGCTCTTCCCCTTGTGAGGCAGTAACTGCAATGAGGTCTCCCCTCAATCTTCTCTTCTCCACACTGAACAGTGACCCCAGCCACTACTCGTACAGCTTCCCCTCAAGGTCCTTCACCATCCTCATATCCCTCCTTTGGATGCTGTCCAACATCTTAATATCTTTCTTACATTGTGGCACCCAAAATTGCACACAGGAATCAAGGTGAGGCCACTCCAGTGTGCAGGGACTCTTGCTGTACTTAAAAATAGCAGTAATACCCATCTAAACCCAAACCTCAGCTCAAAACTTACTTAAAGGCTTTGTCTTTGACTCTTTTCTAAAAGGGAAAGTCTTTTAAATTACTAAGTCATTGTCATATCTATAATGAGTGTTTGACATCCATCACTGGTACCTTTGGTATCTATGTTTTTCAAAACATTTAAGATTCAGTCTAAAAGATATGTTACTTTCCCCAATCACACTTTCTTTCCTTTAATTGAATCCAATTTTCTAGGTTTTTGATTGTCCCTTATTTTTTAACTAACATCTGCTTAAAAAAATACTTGAAATAATAAGTTCAGAGCTGTGAAGAATGAGTGTTGCCAACTTATGGCCTCCTTGCCAATTAGCACTCTGTTGTTACAGGTGATGATTCAGTAACTGTGGGGAGCAGGCTTATGCCTCTTGTGAGAGGATTTCTCTGTTCAGGTGCACAGTTTGGTGAGTTTGCACCCATGAAGTTAATACTGCTTTATTCAATGTATATTCTCCACCTGTGCCTGCTTACATATCTGGAGGATTTTGGTTGTGCAGAATTCATACATTCCACTACTGAATACATCTGGGATTCTTTTGCTATCTTTTTATGCTGCTGAATTTCCAATTTTATATAGCTGAGCTGCTCACAATCAGAGTTTTATTCTGCTCCTTACTACAGAAACAAAGAGAGATGAATGGTGCTGGCCTTGGGGACTTTCAGGCTGGCACAGTGCAGAGGATTCTTCACTCAGCAATTTGGGTGAGAGACCCCCAAATGCAAATGCAGGAGTAATTAAATCTGGCATCAAGTGTAGCTTGGCAGTCTGGCTCCAGTAGCTCCTTAAGGATGGATAAAACTCTGTGGACTTGCAAGCTTCTCCATTCAATTTCTCAGTGAAGAAGAAGAGTTCCTTCTTTTTCCTCAACAGAGAATTCTTCCTTGGGGCTCCTTTCTGATCAGGACAGAGCTATCATGGGAGAGACAGCACAGTCATTGAGCAGCGATCTGCTCCCATGTGCCACCATGTTAGGAGACCTTGATTCCCAGGACATTGCTGGATGGGCCTGGTTTGCCAGGATTTTAGGCTGTGAGGTTTGTTGCTCCAAGAAATGTTGGGTGGCATTGGTGAAGCAACAAGTGATGGGAGTGCTCAGTGTGAGTGAGGACCAACGTGAGTCAAGACTATTGATATTTTTCTAGTTGGAGAAAGTTCTCTTCCTCTCCTTTGCAGATAGTTTTCCAGCAGACTGCGTGTCTCTGGCTGTAGATGGGAAAGCAAGAGCAAAGTGCAAATGCCACGAGATCGATTTAATAACTATTAAACTGCAAGGGAGAGCAGAAAGAGCCAGAGCTGAGAAAAATCTGCCATCACATTTTGCCAACAACCTCCCAGACTTGGAAGAGGCAGATAGACAGCAAGTCTTTTAGACATGTGGCACAGCTAAATTTCCAAATGTCTCAAGATTCTTCCACCTCAATTCTCCTCCTTCCTTCGTTTCCCTTTGGAAGTGCATAAACCTGTCACAGACCTCACCATGAGTGTGTATTAGATGCTGCTGCTGGAGGCAAGGAGGTTCAGAGCTTTGTGGGAGTCTTGCCAAATTGTCTCTGTAGGAGCCAGCTCCAGTCTACTGAGGCCCTGCTGTGTGCAGCCCCAAATCCCAGCCTATGGCTGAAACAGCCACTGCTGGGAAGGAGCTGACCTGGGAGCCCTGGCCACCCGGGCAGGCTGTGGTCCTGGTGGGGATGGATTTCCTGCAGCCTGCCAGTGCAGCTGGGCTACCCTGAGCCAGTGCTGAGCACAGGGACCAGCCCCCTGCCCAGAGCCAGACCACAGCCTGGGCTTGCTCCATCCGGAGCCTCCATGGAGCCCCATGGACACACCAGTGCTCAAAGCTAAAAGTGAAGCTTTAATTACTGTTTAAATCATTTCATGGGGCCTGATAGTATTTGAGGTAGATATGTATAAATGCTGCCTGGTATTATGTTTTTGCCAGAGTGGTTTTGCAATCCACAGTCAGTGTGATACTGCATCTCTCATGGCTGCTTGTGATGACCACATTTGCTGGAAGATCTAGAGCACCAACACTTTCTTTTTCTCTCTTTATCCAAATGAACTTGTTAGCCTGTAAACACTGCAAGTGGAAAGCTCTCCCAGTCTGCCATAAGTGCTGGTGATAAAAAGGCAAATGCAAGCAGTGAACGAAATAATCCACTTAATCATTTTCTAGCACTTTGGCAAATAAATCACCTTTACTCTTACCATGTTAGATGGCTCTCACTGATGAATTGACAATATTATGTTGATTTATCTTTTCTCCATCTTCTGTTCCCCGTTTCCCAGGCCGGATGACGTGATGCTGAAGCGCACCCATGATGAGACTGTTCTCTTGCACTGCTTCCTCTGGCCCGTGGTGACTTTGCTGGTCGGAGTCCTCATCGTGGTCCTGACCATCTGTGCCAAGAGCTTGGCTATCAGGGCAGAGGCAATAAAAAAGAAGAAGCATTTGTGAGTGGCAAGGCTGCTTGTGGAAAAGAGAAACCCGCAAGAAGGTCTGAGGTGGGGCAGCCTGACACACCTGCAGCTCTGTGGGGCACCCAGCTGCATCTCCTGCCAGGGTCTGATCTGTGGTGGAGTAGCTCTTGTCTCAGGACTGCTCTTGGGAGATTGCCCCGTGAAATGCCTGCTAATTGCTTCTTCTGCTATGGCACTAAATAAGTATATTCTACCAAAAACAAAGAGAAATCTACACTGCACCAAATATGCTGTGTGCTGTTAGTGCTGAAGAGCAGCTGCCCAGAAACTGAGACAGTTTATGAAACTCCCTGATGATGTTGCTTTCATCTCCACAAAGCGATCTTTGCTAATGTTTAATATGAAATATTTAAAATATTTACTTTAGATAGAACATATTTCTAAAATAATAAAATTTTATTGTTTTGGGGGTTTTAACTTTTGGGGGTTTTCTTTTTTTTTCCTTTTTTTCTTTTTCTTTTTAATGCTTTAAGGCAAACGTAGCATTGTGCTGGTTAGGTTTTTTTCCCACTGTATAGAACTTAATTTTGAAGTTCAAACTTTACCTTCTGTCTAGACAAAATCTTTCATCATCACCCATTCACTGTGATGAAATGTAGAAATCTCTCAGAAATACTTCTTAAAAAAATGAAACAGCTATTGGAAAAGATGATTAAATACTGGATCTACCTTTATTGCCTCAGTGGTATTCAGTCCTAGAGTTTTTCTCGTCCTCTCTCAGACACCCTCTTCATGAGTGATGCTGTAAGGAGCAGGGATTTTACAGCGGTGGTTTTACAGGAGTGTGTTTTGCCAGCATCCTGCCCAACCAGTGAGTGCCTGAGTGCTTGCTGAGGGGAGTCTGTGTGTCCCTGGTGTGACTCACAGCACCAGAGAGGGACAGCAGCTCCTGTAGGGCTGTGGGTGTTTGCTGCTGAGCTGCCCATCCCAGTCTCCCCAGTTCCATGGAGGCTGCCTCTGAGGGGATGCTCCAGAAGACACACAGCACTGTGGGCATGGAGTCTTGCTGGGTCTGCTTCCCCTGCTTGCCCCACCCCTGGCTGTGTGTGATGGGAGCACCAGCTCTAGGCCACTGGCTCAGCACAGAGAGCTCCATGGTCCTGGCAGTCTCCCAGAGCACATTTACCCTGCTGCAGCCGGGGGCTGGGGCCAGAGCAGTCCCATGGCATTTGTCATTGCCCCACAGGGCCCCCGGCACCTGCTGTGCAGCTTGGCCATGCTGGAGGGCAGCAAATGGAAATGCCATGTGGCTGGGTCGGGAAAGTGAGTGATTACTGGCAAAGCACTTTAATCTACATTAACAATTCTGCAATTCTAAACATACTGTGCATTATACTAATCTCTGATATTCTTAGTATTATGTGTAAATACCTTGAGGTTCGTTGTGATTTTAACACATAGCAGAAATATTTCCTGAGGATGAGAATAGTGCTAGATTTGAAAGGCTGAAAGCTTAGCTGGCACAAGGCATGATGACAAACCTGCTTGTATTGCTCAGTGTCCTTTTCAGATTAATTGTCTTGTGTGTTTTAGAACTGATTTCCATAAGACCTCTTGTACACAGTGTGGTGCCCAGTGACGAGGCTGATGCATGGCAAGGGCAGCAGAGTGACTGGAGGTCATTTGCTGCTTCCCTTTTTACTTGCTGTGTGACTTTTGGGGTGCCCTCTGGTCCCAGTCCACGCTGGGATAGCTGTTCCCTCAAAGCAAGTTAAGGAAATGCGTTTGTAGGGGTAGGAACTTGATCTTCTTGGCACATTACTCTGTATGAAAGATGCAGTTGGCATTGGTTGCACATGTTCAAGCACCTCCAGTCCTGCAGATGAAAAAGACCTCTTGTAAGAAAAATTTCCAATTCTTTGTGTTAAACATCACCACTTTGAAGGGGCCTGCTGTCCAGCTCACACTAGTACCTTCTGTCTCAGCCTACTGAAAAGAATAGTGCTGGATATCCTGGGTGCAGAGAGGTTGTGAGCTCTCAGCCTCTCAGAGGAAAGCCTGCAAGCTTCTGAAATAGCTGTCCTGGAAAGGACACTGTGTTTTGTTTCACTCTTGTCTCTCTCTTGTGGCCTTGTTTGCATCCACCACGATTCTCTTGCCTCAGCAACCCACAGAAACACTGCATTGTGGGTCTGACCTGGGGGTTTGGCTGCTGTTTTATATATATACATATATATATATATATATATGTACATATATATATATATATATATATATATATATATATATATATATATAACTTGCTTGCCACTCTGCAAATCACATAAAGCTGCAGGTGTGGGGTGATTTGGTTATCTGAGTAGCATGATGCCAAATTCTCTTAATTTATTTCTCCTTGGTAGCTTCTTACAGTCAAGAGGAATAAGCCTGATTTTCTACATACATTTGTCCTTTGTTTTCCCAAGGGAGAAGGAAATACAGGGTGACACAGATTCATCAGGAAATTTTAAACCAGTAGCTTGGGGCTCCCAAATCCAGATTAACAAAATCCTCTCTTTCTTTGCTCCAGAAGCTTTTGTGAATGAGTCCTACAGCTGGTTCTCTGACCAAAAGGCAAGAAGCAAATTGAGTGGATGCAGCTCACTTGATTGGCAATCATATATTTAAATCTGTTGGAAATGCCTTTTGCAAAGGCCTCTGGAAGAAAGTAATGGCTACAGAGATGATATTATATTGTTTTGCTGAGAGATTAACACCCGAAGTTAAATACCAAAACTGGTATCCAAAGACCAGCAATAGGAATAAGCCTGGCATGGCAGTATGGGATGCTAAGGGGAAAACTCAAAATCCTAACATTCAGTCTTCTGTCTCATCCCATCCCTCAGTGATTTAGAAATGTTTTTGTAATCCCTGTACTTGATTGTGGAAGCTGGGGATTTCCCTCTAGTGGATTATTCACTCCTTGGCTTTGCAGATTTCCAAGTTTTGTAGTGTGTGCTCTGAAACATACTTGCAGCCAGAGCAGCTGCTTTTCCCAAAGCCATCTGCAGAGTTGGCTTTTGCATTTTATTCAATATTTATATGCCATTGCTTTGAGGAATTTTGTTCTGGCATGCTGTCTTACTGCTCTGCTTCAGTAAGACCTGCCTTCTCTTTCATGTAGTGCAATTAAATCAATTTGCTTATGCCGTATCTCTCTCTGTTAGTTTCTTACTCTCATTTTAAAAGTTGTAGTGATAGAAGCATTTTCGGTTGCCTTTTCCCTGCCTATGTGTTTCTGTGTTGCCAGTGACAGACAAGATTTCACAAAGTTAGAAAATATAGCTGTTGAATGAACAGCTTAATTCAAACTCAGACAGATGAGGGATGCATGGGAGAATCCAGGGGCATTTTGGAAGATCTTTACCCTTAATCTCTGCTACAAACGGAGCCCTTTGGCAGGGGTCCAGCACAGAGTGCTGGATTTGAAGGACTGTTTTCAGCTCAGCTCTTCAGCAGGTGCTGCAGAGGGGATGCATGTTGGGAAGGGCAGTGGGGAGGTTGCAAGGTCTCAGTTTCCAGGCTTGCACTTCCAAGTGTGTTTTGAGGGATTTGTCCTAGAACAGAACAAAGACATCTGCGAGGTGAGAGCGCACAGATCTCTCCACGCATCTGCTGCCTGGCACAGCCTGCTGTGCCCACCCCAGCCCTGGTGCTGCCACATGCGGTGTCCCTGCCTGCAGTTTGCTTCCTGGGAGCCCTCCTGGCTGGGCCAGGCTGTGGTGTCGTGCCCACAGGAGCAGGGATGTCCTCAGAGGGCTGCCACACAGCTCAGCTCGTTTCACACACTGCACGAAAGCATCCATCTAGTGTGTGTTATCCCATCGAGCCCAGCTGGGAAATGCAGAAGGAGAAACATTGGTCAATGTTTAAAACCTTTTAACAGATAAAGTGGTAGGGCTTCAGTATTCCTGAGGAAGTGTCTAATGCAATTTGCTAAGGCTTGCTTGGAAAATGACAACTTTAAAATTGGCAGTGGGGCTGGTCTGACAGCAGGACAGTGTGGATTGCCTGTGAGCAGGAGAGAGGAGCTGTGCAAGCATCTTTGCTCAGCACTGCAAATACAGGAGCTGCCCACCAAATCAGGGCTTCTGCAAACTTTAGACTAAATGGCCAAAGAATCAAGAACAAACAGGTGGAAGAGGAGACACCTAAAACAGTGTTTAATCAAAAAGAAAAACACTCATGCCATGGCTTATATTTCAATAATCAGATGAGAGAAAGCACAGCTGAATTTCTAATTATGATGCCTATTATATCATGCAAATATGGTCTTTCAATCCCTGACAGAAATCCCATAGCCAGAGTTATCGAAAAATCAGCTTATTCCCATGTGTGGTTTTCTTTGAGAATCAAAGCCTGTTTGGTTTGGGGCTTTTTTCCCCCTCAGCGTGGAACAGCTGCTGTTGCTCCATTAACTTTCAATCAGAAACCAACCTCTTCCCTTTCTGGCATCTTAAGAGGCTGCTATGCTGATCTGTCAAGCTAACAATCTTTGCTGCAGAAAGCATGAGCAGGAAAACCTCTGAGGGAATTTGTGTGCAATTAATCATGCTGCCTTGTCAGGTCACAGACCCACTGAATGAATCAGCCCCACAGTTTGGTGTTTGAGAGGCTGTGCAATTTCCCCTCTGGTTTTGTAGCAAGCCCAAGTGCTGCCATTGCCTCCACTGGGCTAATTCACAGCTCCTTGGTGGTCTAATGGTTTGAAGTCTGGTAAGCCAAAAAATCCCTCTGTGTGCATTGGGTGCATGGCTGGAGATGCGGTAAAAAGAAAAAAGAATAGCTTATTACACTACATAGCTGTAATTTGCATGTAAAATTATATTATAAAGTGTGTTGGCATGGCTGTAAAATTGCATACACACCTAGAGTACACAGTCTCCAAACAGCACATTGCAATCAATCGAAAATAACCCTCCCAGAAATTCACTACCACTTCTGACACTGCATTAAAGAAAAGCAAACACTGTAATTTAATTTAATGAGCTAATGGAGCTCAAGCTTTACTTTTAATCACATAACTTGTTCATAATGTTTCAACTAGCAGAAGTTCTATCCTTGTTTTTATTTGCATGCCAATTGCCATTTGCTAAAAGCAGTTGGAAAAAAAATCAACCGTAAGATCTTTCACATAATTGCTTGTTCAGCAGCTGAGGGTTTCTGGACAAAATACTTCAATTTGGACCCCAGCAGCAGAATCATTTCCTTTCCCCTCTTGCATTAGGCTGGTTTGTCTCGTGGTACCCACAGGAGAGAGCAGGGCAGCCACCCTCTCTGCCCTGCTGTGTCCATCCAAAACATCTCTAGGATGTAATTCCTGGGGTTTGCCAGGGGCCTGGATATCAGGAGCACTGCCAGGGTGTGGGGCTGTGGGGAGGGAGCATCACCCAGGGGCATCAGGGAGACAGCTCCCACCTAAGGAAATCTGGAACATCAGAAGGGACATGGGGTTGGCAAAGAATGGCATCTTCCAT